TCTATCGGCTGGGCGGGGTCGATGCAGACAAATGCGCCGCCGGCCTTGAGAACTCCCAACATGGAGACTACGGCCCAGAGGGACTTGTCGAAGCAGACGGGCACGAACACCTCTGGTCCGACGTTCTGGGAAATGAGGAAGTTGCCCAGTCGCGCAGTGTAGTCTACCAGCTCCGAATACGATACGGACCCATCCCAGCATTCCAGCGCCGTGCGATCCGGGCAACGCTTCGCCGCTTCGTCGATCTGTTCATGCAGACAAGCATCGATGGTCGGAGACACCGTCGCATTCAGCTCCTGGAATCGCGTCCAGGAGGACGGACCAAGAAGATCCACCTCTCCGATTGTGGTATGGGGTGCGTCGCGGATCGCCGCTGTCGCTTTCGCAACCGCTTCCGCAACTGCAGCGGCGATGCTGTCGCCGATGGCCTGCGCGGCATAATGAAGGGTCACTTGAAGCTCTTCTGTTGCATCGGTGACTATGAGTATAAGGGGAAACTAACCAGTCAGCAGGGACGATCGAGTGATGAATCGAGGAGTCGGTTGACTTACATGAGAGGGATCGACTTCGGCAAGGTGTGGTTCCTCAGTCTGCGTCGACTTCCAGACGAGGGTATTGAATGATCTGCTCAAGGCCGCCCAGTCCTTGAAACTCTGGACGATTGGTACATCCTGCGCCGGCTGTTGAACCGACGGCTGAAGTTGCGCCAGAGCAGTGTCGCCAGGGATCTCACCGTGGCACACCGCGAACCCGAAGGCATCGGCCACCGTGCTGTCCGCCAATCCAAAGGAGAGGACATCACTCCCCGTGTAATATCGTAGTACGATCGTCCAAGCCTCTAACACGGCCTCAGTGGAGGATGCGCCCGCGCGCACGGAGATAGACTTGAACCCCGGCGCATTGCGTTGGAGATTCTCGGTCGGGAAGTGGCACAGTGCTGCGTCGAAGGCACCAGGCACGATCTGCAACATGACTGCGCGCGTCAAGTGGAAGGAAGGGTGGTGATTCGAAAAGGATGAGAGGTATTAGGCAAGCCGCGCTTGCTGATTACATATAGCTATAGGTGGTGGAAATGGGCGGTTGTTGAAGCGACAGAGGTTGATGTGATTATGCAGGGAGGTAAGTTCGAGCGAGAAATTGCGACCGAGAGAAATTTGGGGAGAACAGCATGAGCTTCAGACTTTCGCAGCTCCAGATTGACAAATGTTTCTTGTGGTTGATGATTTGCGATCAGTAGGTCACTCGCTGATTGACTGATAAGACAGACACGTGCTTTCTTTTCCAGATCCGGCTATGCTTCCGGCTGTGGACACACAGTATGGAGCTGAGTGTGCTGCCGTACCTGAGCATCAACCCTGGGTCCCATTCATTGCCTCGGGTAAGTCTGAGCTGGGGCTGACTCTGATCTTCTGTCTCCGCTGTAGCATTGGTATGAGTATGTGCGTGAGGATGTGGATGTAGTGGTGGCAAGACGTGTTCAGGGCTGCACTGGCTGTAAGGGCTGGTAAGACAGCTGGCAGCTTGTGTTTCGATACGGTCATGACAGTGACGGTGACGGTAAGCGATTAGATAGAGTTCTCTCATCTTCTTCATCTTCTTCATCGACCCGCAGTGGATCTCATCGTGGCCTTGGCGCAGGCTACGTCATGGGCCAAATGCCCTGGCAGGGGAGAAGCTTGGACTTCTGCTCATCTTCCAACAGGGTCGCATAGATTACTGTTTGAGTACTCCGTCTACGCTAGAGATATGCCGAGTCTTCGGCACTTATTCAGGATCTAGATGACTGCATTGACGGATGTCTCGTCTCTGGTTGCAACGTTCATTGTGTGCTGTCAGAATAGTTCTATGATGGTGCATGAGTGAGTTTGGAGGGCTCTCTTCACTGCTGCTTCGTTCTGTCTTCATGTTTGTGTTGATGAAGAAACAGACCGACAAATTGCGTGTAGAAGAATCATCCATGGAAGAGTCTCGGGCATAGATCGGGAAGTACCGTGGATTCGGGACAGGCTGCTTTTTCCCGATCGGGAAGTTGATATTCTTCACTGGCACCCGCTGCGGCAAGGAAGCTCCACTCTTTTTTCTTTTCTGTTTCTCAGGATTGATTTCCCCTTCCGAACCCTTCCGCCAAACTCTTCATCGTCAATCGCAGTTCTGCTATTTCTGGACATCGTGGATATCCTATACTTACGGAGCATACGTATTCTCAAGCGACGATCGGCACAGCACCCACAATCTCCTGGACCCTGCGCTGCACTCCCTTCCAGCCTTCATGTCAAATCAACCACCGGTACTCTATACTTTCTAGATGTTTAGTGTCTCGACACGTATCTTCCTTCTCCGGCAGTGTTCGGACCCTACTCTCCGCTGAGGGTCTTTATCCTGGGTTTCGCGAGGCATCCAAGATTATGATTCCCTGTGCAGTGTGGTTTGGGAAGCTGCCAAGCGTAGAAATGGAGTCTGTAGAGATGATCCGTATAGACAGTCAAAATAAGTAGTACGACCCTGGCACTCATCGACGGTGACAGGCGTTATCGCGGTTGTTCTATCATTGTCACCCCTTTGGTTATTGTTCTTACTGTTGTCTTGTTCTTCCGTCATCATGAAGGATACTGAAAGCGTGTTGGTGCAGACCAACATCGATCGACGGACCTGCCATCGTGTAAAGCCGATGCAGGTCCTTGTTCTGGGCCTCTGCCGCACGGGAACACTGTGTAAGTTTGTCACATCCTCCTGCGCAATTGCACGGTTGCTTTCGCATCCCCGTGCGATACTATCCCCTTCCGACAAGCACTAACAGAACCCCAGCAACATGGCTCGCCCTCCAAGAACTCGGCTACGAGACCTACCACATGACCTCGATCATGCAGAACCCCAAGGACGCCGTGCTGTGGACGGAAGCCTTCCGCGGCAAATACCACGACGGCCGCCCCTTCACGCGCGCCGACTGGGACCAGCTCCTGGGCCACGTCGAGGCCGTCACGGACTTCCCCGCCGCCGTCTTCGTGGAGGAGCTGGTCGCCGCCTACCCCGATGCGAAGGTGGTGCTGACCCTACGCGACGTCGACGCCTGGTACGCCTCGATGCAGCAGACCATCATGGCGCAGACCTACAGCCCCCTCGCGACGCTCCTGGGGTGGATCGACCCCGAGAAATTTGGAGAGGGCAACCGCATGTGCCGCCTGGGTTTTGACGCGATGTTCGCCGGCGACTTCGCCCGCAATGGTAAGCAGGCTTTTCGCGAGCATTACGATCGCGTCCGAAGCGTCGTGCCGCGCGATCGCCTGCTCGAGTGGAACCCTGCCGAGGGCTGGGAGCCCCTGTGTGGCTTTTTGGGGAAGGATGTCCCGGCCACGCCGTTCCCGCGTGCGAACGAGAAGGCGATCTTTCAGAAGAAGTCGGCGGCGGTGGTACGGAGTGCTTTTGGGAGGTTCTTGAAGAAGATGACGTGCTACGGGGTCGGGGTTGCGGTGGCATATTTGGTGGCTAGGCATGGGCGCGAGGTTTGGTTGCGTGTGTCGCGGTGGGCGTAGTTCGGTTGGGGGGTGTCTACAGTTCGTTGTGTATATTCTAGGCTGGTGCGTCTTCTGTCGCTTGGGATGTATGTACATAGATAAGTTTGTGTTTTATAGATCATGGATATGTAATCTTGGTTTCTTGGGGACGAACCGATCGATACCCGATCGATTTTTGCCGACCCGTTCTTGGCCTGTGAGGATCGGCGGCAATCTGAGAAGAATCAGCATGAGAAAAAGCAAAATAAGACAAAGAAAAAAGTAGAATGGAAACGGGAAAAAGAAAATATATCTCCGGCATGGAAAATGAAAAACAATTAGGGTCTCTTCTTCTGGAGTTGATGTCATTAACGCGGGCACTATGGCACGCTGCATCTATATGCCTGATGTTGGATCAGTCCTTGTCCACTGGTTTCTGCTCTATGCTACCTTTCTGCGGTCAAACTTGATATTGATATGCTATATCCTGAATCTGGTAGTATTCTATGTCAAGTAAACTTTTCAAGTCATCAACCTTGGACAGCTCTTTCGCGGGTACTCCGCTGGAACCCTGTTTCAATCAGTATTCAGGAAACATGGTTGCGTTGACCCTGATCCGATCGGTCCCACCTACTGTATCTGGGGAAGATCACCTCGAGGCCGAGATCCATCGATCGTCGAACCGGTGGATAGGCTGTACGGCCAGTGTGGAGACGACTGACTCGCGGCTGGGTGATAGCATTTCTTGCGGCACATGGCGGATGGGAAATTGAATGTTGATTGAATGCGACCGCAAAGGACTATTCAAACTGCTATCTAATTTTCGCAGTTACGGTGGGTATAGAGTCTTGTAGTCCACAACTCAACACAATAAGTAACTGGTTTGTGGATAGGTGATCTCGAGACGAAACAACCTTGTAGTGGAGCCCCGCCGGTGATGTCAGGGCTCTGCCCGCGTCTTGCCCTAAGTGGTAAACAGCAAAGACTGCCAATGTCAAGGATCATGACTGGCCATGGAACGAGGGTGGAACTCCAGGAGAATGCCTGAGTATCATTATCTTCCGTGTTCCCGCATCTCGATCCTGATTTATGCCGATGGGTCCTGTCGATCGATCCGCTGATCGTCGGTACTAAAAGACTAAAAGGTGGAGCCCGGGAAAGAGCACCGGCAAACCGGTTCGTTTGACTCGCACTCCAGGGTATTCAGGAGAGGAATTGATCAAAGCTGCCCCAGTCAGTCTTTCTTGGCTTTACTTTCCCTTGTCTGGCTGTTCGCCTACCGTCACCGTCACTACCTGCTTCTTCTTTCCTCTAACCTTTCTTTCTCTCAATCTCTCTCTTCCACTCTCTCTTTCACTTTGCCTCATCACCTGCCCCTCTTTTTCCACACCCTGTCTTTCTAATTTGTTGACTCGAACACTTCAACTGACTCTTGCGCTCCATTCCCACTGATACACTCTTTCTTTCCGGTTTCACTTATCCATCATCCTTGCTTCATTACACATCATTATGCGCTTCGCACTGTGGTCCGCTGCCCTCTTCGTCGGCTGCATGGCTGCCCCCATGCTTCCGACGCACCCGCTCATTGTCCGAAGAGAATTGACAGAGGTAAGGATCGCTGGGCTGCGTCAACCTGGAACCGGGATGGGTCTGCTCAAACTAACTTTTTGCTCATCATTACTGCATAGAATGGTGAAGTGGTAAGTCAACCCTGGTGCATGGTTCGGTGTGTCTCGGGGGGTTGGAGCGGCTGACAAGACGTCCAGGATGTATGTATCTGGATCCACTGATGTGGTAACATTATTCCATTGCGCGTGCTGACGGTTCTGTGGTTTGCCCGCCTCAAGCCTGTAAGTTCACCTACCGGTTTGGGAAATGTTGATGCTAAATGGTTGTCTAGGTTGTATGTTGTTCTTGATCTTGTATAACTTTGTTGACTGTGCAGTGTAAGACTGATTGCTGGGATAGAATGTGAGTCTCCCTTGTTGCTACGGTTTCAATGCTTCGAAACTAACTCTGGATCAGAATGTATGCTCTTTGATTTCTCTGGATAATGTTTGAGGTTGCTAATCTGTGCAGGGCGTGAGTACTCTTGTCTCGACTTGACCTAAGATTCTGCTGCTGAGAACTTGGTACTTGCCGGCTTGTAGACTGTAAGTTTAATTCGTTCTTGCTCTTTGACATGACTGACACGAGCAGGTGGTATGTATCCTCTTTCCCGATGATGGTTGACCTCCACTGACGTGGATCTTTCCCTGTCATCAGAACGTGAGTTTGCCCCTCCATTCTAGAACCATCCCAAGCTAACGTACGCAGAACGTGAGTCTCCTCAATCTCTTCATTCGAGTGGCTGATAGAGTATCGATACTGATATGGAAAACAGAATGTAAGTTGATTTTCCGCAGTGCCATCTTGTCCACTAATTATGTTTAGGTTGTGAGTTTTCTTGTCCTACCAAACAGCTGATTATCCAAATCTTACTTTTTCATCACAACGCAGAGCGTAAGTCTCTTCCCACAACGTATCGGTATATACTAACATTAAGCAGCTTGTGAGTGCCCTAACTGCACAGCTTTCGGCATTTGCAGATGCTAACTCTAAGCCTCTCCTGGTGATTAGCTGGTAAGTCCAAACCAATGTTGGAAGCTTGAATGAGGTCCCCGCTTACAAACACCAGAGCGTAAGTCCCAAGTCATACTGATGAAGAATGGCTAATGCTGAGTGCATATCCCCTCAACATAGTTTGTACGTATCCCACGCACCACAGGAAGATCCTACTAACCCGGCCAGTGTGTAAGCAAACCCCACCTACAGCCCACCGAACAGCATTAACGCATACCCCCGCGACCAGAAAGAAAAGGTAAGGCCCCTATCTCGCGTCTTCGGTGCTGCCTATCTGCGTGAACGACTCAGGGATAACCGATCAGCGCTAACCGATCAGCGCGACAACGACGAACCGTTGACCTCCGATGGCGACGTGGACCCTGTCAATGACGGCGAGGTCAACAACAACATCTCGCTGATCCGGCTCTGCTAGACGATCGTCAGTTTCCGGCCGAGAGCCTCCACGGCTTCCCGAGGGTTCAGCGAAGGGTGGACCCTAAGCCGGTCGGGACCGAGTCCCTCTGCACTCCCTCCCACTTGCTATCGTGTGGTTGGAGGTCGCTTGGAGGGGCAAGCATGGCACCGGGGACGAATTGGGGCTTGCCGACGAGGACTTGCCGAGCCATGGGTTGCTGCGGTGGATGGTAGTTAATAGGCTGTCCCCCGTTGGATAGGGCATGTCATACGATTGCATTCTTCCCGTCTTTATCCACTGTGACTGTAGATCTAGCTTCGGTATATCCACGTAGACGTTGGGATCCATGTACTGTACGTAGATATTGCGCTATGACGCATGCGAAACTTGAGATCTTGTTTCGTGGCTGCGTGAGGTGGTGCTTTGATGGTATGGAAGAGATGAGGTTCTGGTGCTGGGTTGGTGTCTGGGTGGGATACTGAAGCTCATTCGCAGAGAGCATGACCATTCGACATCACCAGACCCGAATCATCGTGCCCGCCGCACTTTGTCTGTTGTCGCCGGCTTCGATGAGGCTTTGGGAAATACGAACATCCTCAAGTCTACGTGCGGGTATGCCCAGAAGCAATTCGAGGCCACACGATTCATAAACCGGTAGACATGTCTACACTGATAACAAGTTTATGTAGCAGCTGCTTCCTCGACAGAAATTTATACCCGGCTCATTCAGTACACCACAACACATACAAATCACTTTTATCACGACATTATTTTGCGCGCAAATGATTCAATTCAGCCAATCTTTATTATATATTACTACTGACGAACAAAAGACACCATACGCCAAACAATTCAACCCGGAAAAACGTTTACTGCTTCCCAGCCGTTACACGAGCCCGACGCTCGCGCACAGCATCGGCCAGCGAGCGCAGTGAGGATTCGGTGGTCTCCCAATCGATGCAAGCATCCGTGATGCTGACCCCCTTCTCACAACCTTCCAAACGCGCGACCGGCTTCTGGTTGCCCTCCTTGATGTTGGACTCAACCATCACGCCGATGATGCCCCGCTCGCCCTGCCGGAGCTGCTCCTCGATGGTACACAGAACCTTGGGCTGGTTGCGGTGGTCCTTCTGGGAGTTACCTGGACGCTTGTGTTAGCGGGATCATACCTTTAAGATAAGGTTTGACAGGAATCTAGGGACCTGAGTTAACAAGTCAATCAGACATACCATGAGAACAATCTACCATAACGACCTCCCGCTCCCCCTTCTTCTGCAGCATCGCCTTGGTCTCCTTGACGCTCGCAGCATCATAGTTGGTCCCACGGCTCCCGCCGCGCAAGATAACAAACCCATCAGGGTTTCCGCTGGTGCTGGTAATGGCGATGATGCCCTGCTTGGTGGTGCCCATGAAGTGATGCTTCCCGCGCATCGACTTCAGCGAGTCAGCCGCGGTGCCGACAGACCCATCGGTGGCGTTCTTGAAGCCGACGGGGAACGACAGCCCCGAGGCCAGCTCGCGGTGCAGCTGCGACTCGGTGGTGCGGGCCCCGATGGCGCCGACACTGATGAGATCGGCCGTGTACTGCGGGGAGATGGTGTCGAGCATCTCGCAGGCGACGGGCACCCCCTGGTCGGTGATGTCGGCCAGCAGCTTCCGCGCGACCTTGACCCCCTTGTTGATGTTGTACGAGTCATCGACGTCCGGGTCGTTGATCAGCCCCTTCCACCCCACCGTTGTGCGCGGCTTCTCCAGGTATGCCCGCATCACCACGCACAGGTCCTCCTGCAGCTCCGCGGCCAGCGCCCGCAGGCGCGCCGCGTACTCCAGCGCGTTCTCCGGGTCGTGGATGCTGCACGGCCCGACGAGCACGAGCAGCCGGTCGGACTCCTGCCGGATGATGTTGCGCGCTTCGATGCGGCTGTTCAGCACGGTCAGCAGGGACTGCGCGCTCAGGCCGATGTCGTATTGCACCAGTTCAGGCGGGGCGAGAGGGGTGTATTTCTCCACTGGAATGGGAGGGGAGGTCAGAGATGATTACAATATTGGGAACAGGAGATCAATTGAAAGGGATTGGGGCTAGGCTACTAACCTCGGACATCCTCAGCGAGCTTCTTACGCAGAAGGTCGACGTTGGTGGCATCCAGCACGGGGGTGGACGTGAGGCTAGGCATTTTGATATGGATATATATGGTAAGCAAAGACGAAAGGAATGTTAAGATTCGAGCGCTAGGTAGAGGGAAACAACACAACACTGGGACAATGGGACAACGAAAGAACAACAGTCACTGGGTCTTCTTCACAACTGTCTGGAATAACGCCATGTGCTATATACCCTGCTGAGGACGCCGACTCGACTTCCCTGCTATCCCGTCTCTCCCCCTCTCCTCAACCTTCCAGTCTCACCGAACCTGAACAGGATCTTTTTCCGTGTCAGCACGGCTCGTGAATGTCAGACCTCCTGCGAGCGTATTCTCTGCCGCGACTTAGAAGAGAGGGAGAAAAAAGTTTGATTGGAATACTCTATCGTGATTGTCTCGGTCCACATCCACTACGTCGTCGAATCGTCACTGCACGAACAACTCCGAGCGATGAACGCTCGGACTCCATTACGTATTGCGGTAATGTCTCCGTCAACCCACCTCGCACGGAGAACAGCTGAGTTAGTTCACAGCTCTGGGAGTCTGGGATTGTCGATCAAAGTCAGGTTCAAATGGAGGAAGCGAAAGGTTTGAGTCTTGGTTGTTTTTCCCGCAGGGTGGGAGGAATCAGGAAGCGTCGGGACGTGCTCCGATGATCGTCGTGAATACACTCCCGGAGTGGGTAGCTCTTGAGCTCTTCATTTTCTGTGTTGGAAGTAGGCATGATTGTGGTGGGTTGCAGTGGGTTCGCAGAGTGGAGGGAAGAAGATCTCGAGGGTTGATATCGCCTTGGATGGATGGTAACGCAGTATCAGACATTACATACCGAGATCTGGTTTCATACGCAGAGCAATACGAATGGTACCGCGTCAAAATTACCGCTGGACCCGCCCGACCCGCCGAAGCTAAGCCCGAAGAATGCAAGATCGCCCGTACAGCCGCGCTCCGATAAGCGAAATTTTTCGGAAATGCTGAACCTGTACCTTCACAAACCCCCCCTGCTCATATCCATGGGTAACTCCACGCGGCTTCCGGAAGCATGCAATCAGAACCCATGGAACCACCATGCCATCGTTTCACCTGCGATCTATGGGCTGAAACACCTCGAGTTGTTTGTTGTTGTTCGTGCTGCTCCACGCGAGGAACACAAATACAGATACACACACGGAAAACACACGGGTTGAGCCGACTGGGTCTCTCTTCCCATTGCTGATCATGACAATTTGCCGCTGGATGGGTCAGGAACATCTGAATCTGACCAAGACGGAATGGCAGAGCACGCAGACCCCACCGCCCACCGTCCACAGCCCACGTCAGGATGATCGAACATCCACCGCATCGATACAACCCAACTCAACAGGGCTCTTGCACTCGGAGACCCCCTGTCTACCTTTCTCGCGGCATCACCATGTTGTCAAACATCCGGCACTAGGTTGCTATACCCACACTTTCCGATCGAGGGTTCATCGCCCTTCATTCTACATGTAGACTAGCCGCCTCGAGATTTCACTAGTTCTGATGCTCGAGACTGCCGGTTGGATCGAGGACGATGAACTGGAGTTCAGCTCGGGGTCCTGCTTTTCCAGCTTACTGGGTCAGGTCCCAGCGCGGCTGCTTCGCTTCGGGCTCCTCCCACGGAATTTCCCCAAAGGGGATATGATAGAGTCCGTAAAGATTCGTCGATGAGAATTGTCGTAGATGCAAGTGACGAGCCCCAAACCCTGCTACACATAATAGCATTGTTGACCGGGTCTCTCCCTTTCCTCACTGTTCTTGATCGTTTTCTCAGTTCCCCACGCTATCTTCCTACTTGCATTCTCAATCTCTTGCGCGTCGCGTTTGCTATTTGCGTTTTGTGTTCTCCCTCCCCCTCCAGCCTGTCAGACTTTTTCTCTTCCTGCTGGCTCTTGCTTTTGTCACTCTTTTTCTGTCGGATTTCTCCTCCTTGAACACACAATGCCGTCTATCGTCCTAGATGATGCTGACCGGCTACGTCAGCGTTGGACGGAGCTGGTCACAGACGTGACCCCTTCACACCTCCCTACGGGTCTTTTTTCGAAACGTCAGACCAAGACTCCCGTAGGGAAGTTAGACGTCGACCTCGATGCATCCCTGATGCAAGCATGCTCTCAGGAGCACGATGTGTCTCCCTTGAACCTCGTCCAAGCGGCATGGGCTGCCATGCTGCGCTTGTATTCTGGCTGCGATGACATTACATACGGGGGCATCGGTCTCCAATCCTCCAACTCGAAGCAGCAAGTGACCGACGCGGCTCTGTGCCGGGTACGGCTGGAGTCAGACGTATCGATCCTCTCGATTCAACAGCAGACCCTAAAAGAAGGGCTGCAAAACGCAGAGCTGCTGCTCTCCTTTCCAGAAGCCTTGCAGGTCCTCACCAGTCTTGACCCAAAGCCGTGTAATACCGCACTCTGGCTGCGGGACTCTACCTCCAAGGCTGAAATCTCTGAGAATGAGATTGTCGGTGACAAGACTGTGTGTCTCTTCTTTGAACCATAGTTCTGTTCGGTTGCTAACTTTCTCTCGCTAGTTTGACTACGTCCTACAGATCGATCCCTCCTCATCCACCCTAGACTTAATATACCACAAACCTACGGTCTCGCAAGCCCAGGCCGAATATATCGCTAATACCTTCGCCGATATCTTACATAATGTCTGCTCTGATCCCTCCAAGCCGGTGTCCACTTTCTGCCTCCCCAGCGAATTGGACGCGCTTCAGATTGGAGCGTGGAACCGCATCCTTCCGAAAGGGAGTGCCGTGTGCGTTGACCGGCTGATTGAAGAGGCCGCACAGCGCACCCCCAATGCCCCAGCCATCTTCTCGTGGGATGGCCAGATGACGTACGCCCAGTTCAACCAGACCGCATGCCGTGTAGCCAACTATCTGGAGTCAGTCGGTGTGCGTCGGGGCCAGCTGGTTCCAGTCTGTTTTGAAAAGTCCCGCTGGACCATCATCACTATGATCGCCTTGTGGAAGGTCGGTGCCGCCTGGGTCCCTCTAGATCCACGACATCCCCGCCAGCGTATTGAGACGATTGTCCAAAGCGTAGAGGCCACGACGGTCATCACCTCCGAGGCCAACCAGGCGCTCTTGGCCGGAATCGCCCCGCAGGTGATTACAGTAGACGCCGCTCTGATCGAGAGGATTGAGACGAGGTCGGATGTCGAGTTCGAGTCACGATCGCGGCCACACGACATCTCCTTTGTCATGTTCACGTCTGGAAGTACCGGCAAACCCAAAGGTGTTGTTCATGAGCATGCGTCTGTGGCTTCGAGCGCCCTCCACCATGGTCCTGCCATGAACATCAACAAGGATACACGTGCCTTGCAGTTTGGTGCCTATACCTTCATCATCAGCACTTTTGAGATCTTCACCACCCTCATCTTCGGTGGATGTCTATGCATCCCTTCTGATCACGACCGTCATACCGATATCCGTCCTGCCCTCCGCTCCATGGATGCAAATTGGGCGATCTTCACCCCTAGTTTCGCCCGGTCTCTCGAGACAGAGGATGCTCCTACCTTGAAGACACTCATCCTGGCTGGTGAGGCAGTTGCCCAGGACATTATTGACCGATGGGCTGCCGTCGCTCGCTTGATCAACATCTACGGTGCCAGCGAGTGCTCTGTGTGTATGATCGGACCCATGGTCACGGACACCCCGCGCAGCTGCATCGGCCGAGCCGTCGGCGCCCTCTCGTGGATCGTCGATGCGAACGACCACGATCGGCTGGTCCCCATTGGAGCAGCTGGAGAGTTGATTATGGAGGGTCCCACCCTGGCGCGTGGCTACCTAGCCGACCCCGAGCGCACCCAAGCGGTCTACATCAAAGATCCCAAGTGGGCACAGCAACCGGGTATCACCCGTCAGTTCTACAAGACAGGCGATCTTGCTCGCTATGGCGACGACGGCAGGATCCATCTGATCGGCCGGAAGGACTTGCAGGTCAAGATCCGTGGCCAGAGAGTCGAGCTGACCGAGATCGAGGCGCACATGCGCGCCATCAATAACCAGGTCAAGACTGCGGTGTCGATGGTGCACCCACAGGGCAAGGCCATGCTGGTCGCCTTCATCTCCAGCCAGAGTGGCTTCGGTCCTGAGTTCCAGCACCCATTCCATGCTACGCCTGCGGACCATGCCGAAATTTCGAGCATCGCCTCGCAGATAAACAGCGAGCTTGTGCAGAGACTTCCGCCGTACATGATCCCTTCTGCGTTTATCCCGCTCACGTACATGCCCCTGACAGCCTCAGGTAAGACGGACCGACGCATGATTACTACGTTTGGCACCGGTCTGTCCTTGTCGGAGCTGGCGGCCCTCGCTGGAGGCGCGGCAAAGTCCACACGCACCATGCCTTCCACCGCAGATGAGAAGCAGCTCCAGCAACTATGGTCCGAAATCCTGCATTGTCCGCCCGAGGAGATCGGCGTGGAGGACAACTTCTTCCATCTGGGCGGTGACTCCATCGAGGCGATGAACCTGGTGCGGCGATGTCGAGCCGAGGGTTACCAGCTCCAGGTCAGCGACATCATGGATAATCTCGTGCTGCGCGACATGGCCAAGGTGATGGTGCCGGGTCGCCCCTCGACTGAGCTTCCCCCTGCACGTCCCTTCGAGCTTCTCGGCCAGGACGAGGAGAGCATCCGCTCGGAGATTCAGGTTGCCAGTGGATTCAAGGATGCAGAGCTGATCCAAGATGCGTATCCTTGCACACCGCTGCAGACTGGTTTGATGGCTCTCTCGGCCAAGATCTCCGGATCCTATATCGCCCGCCACACGCTTGAGTTGCCGGCGAACCTGAGCGTCGATCGCTTCAAGGAGCTGTGGGAGATTGTCGTCGCGAACAATGACGTGCTGCGTACGAGGATGGTGGAGACGGACCGCTACGGCACCGTGCAGATGGTCTGTCGTGACCGCATCCAATGGGGCTACGGTAGCGACTTGGAGCAGTATCTCCAGGCTGACGAGGCGATCCCCATGCATATGGGCGATGCTCTCACCCGACACGCCATCGTCGAGTCTGCCACAGATAAGATCTATTTCGTCTTGACCATCCACCACGCCATCTACGACGGGCTCTCCCTGGAGATGCTGTTCAATGACCTCCTGGACGCTCTACAGGGCAGTGTGCCCCCCGCGCGTCCGCAGTTCCGGGATTTCGTCCAGCACGTGGTAGATAAGAACAACGACGAGGCGACGGAGACGTACTGGCGTAACGATCTCGCTGAAGGCGACTTGATCGCGTTTCCCACCCTCCCCTCGGCTATGTATCAGCCTCTCGCCAACGAGTCGCTCATTCACAACCTCACGATCCACCGCAATGGTCCCTCTGACTTCACGACCGCAACTCTGATCCGTGCGGCCTGGACCCTGCTCCAGGCCCGCTACTGTGACTCCCCCGACACGGTCTTCGGCTGCACCGTCAGCGGACGCAATGCATCTGTGCGTGGTGTTGAAGACGTGGTCGGACCGGTCATCGCCACGGTGCCCATCAAGGCGCACCTGGAGCCCCAACAATCCGTCAATGACTACCTCAAGGCCATCCATGCTCACTCGGTGGAAATGACCCCTTACCAAAACTACGGCCTGCAAAACATTGCCCGCGTCTGCGACAATGCTCCCTCGGCGTGCAGCTTCCAGACTCTGCTTGTGATCCAGCCCGCCAGCTCGGTGCCCGAGGCCAGCCTGATCCAGCCTTTCTCGGCCCCGCGCGCGAGCTTCAGCACCGTAGCCCTCACGCTGGAGTGCAGCCTCTCCGCCGACGGGGGAGTTCTGGTGCACGTCCACTTCGACAACGCGGTCCTGCCCCGCGGCCAGGTCGAGCGCATCGTGCAGCAACTCGAGCATGTCTTGCAGCAGCTGGCGCAGGAGCCTGCCGGCCGCACGCTTGCCGACCTCGAGCTGATCAGCCCCCGCGACATGAGCGATCTCCTACACTGGAACCGCACGATCCCCGAAGCCACCGAGGACTGCGTCCACAACCTCATCGCCAAGAACACCATGGTGAATCCGACCGCCCCGGCCGTGTGCGCATGGGATGGCAACCTCACCTACGCTGAGCTCGACAACATCTCCTCGAAACTCGCCGCCCACCTCATGAACGCCGGCGTCGGGCCCGAGGTGTTCGTGCCGCTGTGCTTCGAGAAGTCGATGTGGACGATCGTCGCCATGCTGGCGACCATGAAAGCGGGCGGCGCGTTCGTGCCCATGGACGCGTCGCAGCCGTCCAGCCGCATGCAGCTAGTCGTCCAGGAGGTCAACGCGCATGTAATGCTGTGCTCGGAGGAGCAGCTGGGCCGGTGCCCGGGGCTCGTCGAGAAGGCGATCGCCGTCGGGCCGGGGATGGCGCAGGCGTCGATGCCGCAGATGTCGCAGACCCCCGTGGCGCCGTCCAACGCCGCATACGTGATCTTCACCTCGGGCAGCACGGGCACGCCCAAGGGGTCGGTGGTGGAGCACCGCGCCTTCTGTACGGGGGCGCTCGCCCACAAGGAAGGGTTGCAGATGGGGCGGCGCGTGCTGCAGTTTGCGTCCTACACGTTCGATGCGAGCGTGCTGGAGATCCTGTCGACGCTGGTGCAGGGCGGCTGCGTGTGCGTGCCCTCGGAGGCCGAGCGCCGCGGCAACATCGCCGAGGCCATGACTCGCATGAACGTCGACTGGGCGGTGCTGACCCCCTCCTTCGTCAGCACCATCGACCCGACCACCGTGCCCACCCTGGAGACCCTGTGTCTGGCCGGCGAGGCCATGACCGCCACCCACGTGGCCACCTGGACCCCTTATGTTCGCCTCGTCAACGGCTATGGCCCCAGCGAGTGCTGCGTCTGCAGCTCGTCCAACCGCCGCGTCATGCCCGGCACCGCGCCCAACGACATCGGCACCGCCGTCGGCGGCGCCTGCTGGGTGACCGACCGCGACGACCACAACAAGCTGGCCCCCGTGGGCTGCATCGGCGAGCTGCTGGTCGAGGGTCACACGCTGGCGCGCCACTACCTCAAGAACGCGGAGAAGACCGCCGCAGCGTTCATCCCGCGGCCCGCCTGGCTGCCCTGGTCGCGCTGCGACCGGCTGTACAAGACGGGCGATCTCGTCAAGTACGGCGCCGACGGGTCGCTGCAGTTCATCGGCCGCAAGGACACGCAGGTCAAGATCCGCGGGCAGCGCGTCGAGCTCGGCGAGATCGAGTACCACCTCTGCCTGCCGGCCGCGGTCTCGCAGGCGATCGTCTCGTACCCCAAGAAGGGGATCTACGCCAACAAGCTCATCGCCACGCTCGAGCTGACCGCCACCAGCGACGGCGACAAGCTCGCCCCGGTGGCTGGTCCCACGCTCGAGAAAACCGGCTTCGACGTGCCTGCGCTCTCTCGGTCCATGAGCGAGACGCTCCCCGCGCACATGGTGCCCGTGATCTGGATCGTGGTTGAGAAGATCCCCAGCTCGTCGTCGACGAAGATCGACCGCAAAGCTGTGGACACGTGGCTGGCACAGCTGCCGGAGGACTTCGCGCCGACGATGGGGCTGAAACGCAACGAGCCCACCGTGTCAATGCTGCGGCCGGACGAGGGCAAGGCGCTGGCGATCAGCAACAAGATCGCCAGCCTGGTCAGCCGCGACGACAGCAGCAGCATCCCCCTCCAGGGCCACGACTTCAACATCGCCTCGATGGGCATCGACTCGGTGCAGGTCATCAGCCTGGCCAGCTTCATCAAGCAGACCTACGGCGTCAAGGTCGACGTCTCGCGCATCCTGGACGGGCAGATGACCGTGCGCTCGCTGGCCGCCCTCCTCGACGCCGAGCTCACCGGCACCGCCCCGGCCTCCGCATCCCCGGCCTCCACTTTTGATGCCATGAAGGAAGCCACCGCGCTCATGAAGTCGATCATCACGCGCAGCCCCGTCAAGAAGACCGTCTTCGTGACCGGCGTCACGGGCTTCCTGGGCACGCAGATCCTGCGCCAGCTGTGCGATCGCCCGGATGTCGGACGAGTCATCGCGCACGTGCGCGCCGCGACGCCCTCCGAGGCGTTCATCCGCGTCAAGGACGCCGCCGTGCGCGCGCAGTGGTGGTCGGACTACTACCTGACCAAGCTGGACGTGTGGGCGGGCAACCTGGCGCAGCCGCGTCTGGGTCTAAAGCCCAAGCAATGGGCCTCACTCACCGGCGAGAGCCCCAACGAGGGCGGGCTGGTGCACGCGATCGTCCACGCGGGGGCGGCGGTGAACTGGAACGCGGGGACGGAGGTGCTGCGCGCGGCCAACGTGGACTCGACGGCGGAGCTGATCAAGGCGGCAGTCAGCTCGCCGGCGCGGCCGCGGCTGGTCTACGTCTCCGGCGGCCACCGGTGGCACCCGGACGAGGACGACCGGGAGATCGCGGCGGAGGTGGCGCACGCGAACGGGTACGCGCAGACCAAGTACCTGTCGGAGCTGCTGGTGAAGCAGTTCGCGGCGCGGTACGCGAGCCAGTTCGCGATCGTCAAGCCGGGGCTGATCCTGGGCACGCCGGAGGAGGGCGTGGCCAACACGGACGACTTCGTGTGGCGGCTGGCGTCGGCGGTGGTGGACGCGCGCTGCTACAGCCGCGACGTCGGCGAGTCGTCCTGGATGTTCGTGACCAGCAGCACCCGCGTCGCCGAGGAGACCATCCACCAGGCCTTCTGCCCCGCCGACGCCATGCGCACCGTCACCTTCATGACCGACGGCATCACCGAGCGCGAGTTCTGGGATATCTTCCACCACGAGCTCCAGTACCCGCTCCGCGCCGTCGACCATGCCACCTACCTCGAGACCCTGCAGCAGGCGATCCAGCGCGACGCCACGGGTCATCCGCTGTGGCCGGTGATGCAGGTGTTCGAGGCGATTGACGGCCGGCTCGGCGGCGGGGATGTCCTGCCCGATGCCAGTGTGGTGACTCCCTCGCAGCGCCAGCATGTCAAGGCTACCGTTCGCCGGAACGTGCAGTTCTTGGTGGACGCGGGGTTTATTGCTAGCCCCACGGGCAAGAAGATGCGGTATATGGCGGAGAAGGTGTTCCAGCGGTCGGGGAATGTGTGGGAGAATGTCAAGGGGATGGTTAATGGACTAGCTTAGGATGACAGTCCTATAGGATGGACTGGAAGGGATTGTAGTGTTTAGTGTTTTGTATGATAGCGTGATGTTTGGAGTATTGGGTACTTGGGATCTGATTAGGATAGCACTTAATGTGATTTTGCTCGTTCATCCTTCGTTTTCCGTCAATAGTCAGTGATTCCACTACATACTCAGACTAGACTTGAACATCAGGTGGAGCAGCTGAACCTCCGTGTAGGATGTTAGCTCAACCAATCTCGCATCAACCAGCCGATCCATCGATGGGTAGCGTCGAATATTGCCGATCAGGGCTAAGCAGGAGGAGGGAGGGTATAAGAAGGCGCATGTCCCCAGCCTGTCTCTTGTTCTTTTTCCTCTCTCACTCCTCCACTCAGCCCTAACTTCCCCTTCCTTCTCACCACATCCCCCCCCCAACCACACCCACGACCACAACCACACAACTATAAACCCAACCAACAGCCTCACACAACACACCGCAATTCTATCATCACAAACAATCTCCGACAAAAGCAAAATGGACATGTTCGCCCCCGCGCCTCCACCGCCCACCGCCCTAGGCCGGTACCGCACGCTCTCGTCGACCGCCGGCATCCGAGTCTCCCCTTTCCAACTCGGCGCGATGTCCATCGGCACCGCCTGGTCCGGGGGTCTGGGCTCAATGACCAAAGAAGCCAGCTTCGCGCTGCTAGACGCCTACCTCGCGGCCGGGGGCAACTTCATCGACACGGCTAACAACTACCAGAACGAGGAGTCGGAGCGGTGGATCGGAGAGTGGATGGCCCTGCGCGGGGTACGCGACCACCTGGTGGTGGCGACCAAGTACACGGGGCTGTACAAGCCGCCCAACCCTGCGCCTACCCCCTCCTCCCCCAACCAAGAAAACACCAGGGAGAGCAGCTACCACCCCTCCTACCCGAAGATCAACTTCGCCGGCAACCACCGGCGCAGCCTGCACCTGAGCGTGCACGACTCGCTGGCCAAGCTGCAGACCAGCTACCTGGATATCCTGTACGTGCACTGGTGGGACAGCACCACCTCCATCGAGGAGGTGATGGACAGCCTGCACATGCTGGTCCAGCAGGGCAAGGTGCTGTACCTGGGGATCTGCAACGCGCCGGCCTGGGTGGTCAGCGCGGCCAACACGTACGCGCGCCTGCAGGGCAAGACGCAGTTCAGCATCTACCAGGGGCGGTGGAACGTGCTGCACCGCGACTTGGAGAGGGAGGTGATCCCCATGGCGCGGCGGTTCGGGATGGCCGTCGCGCCGTGGGATGTGCTCGGCGGGGGCAAGTTCCAGTCCCCCCAGGCCATGGCCGCGCGAAGGGAGAATGGGGAAGGGCTGCGCAGGATGATGGGGAGCGGGGAGCAGAGCGAGGATGAGGTGCGAATGAGTGAGGCGCTGGCGAAGGTGGCGGCCGAGTTGGGGATCGAGTCGGTGACCGCCGTCGCGTTGGCGTATGTGCTGGCTAAACATCCGAATGTGTTTCCCGTGGTCGGCGGGAGGAAGGTCGAGCATCTCAGGGATAACATCCAGGCGTTGGAGGTGAGGTTGTCTGATGAGCAGATCCGGTTCTTGGAGAGCGTCAAGCCGTTGGAGTTGGGGTTTCCGCAGAATATGCTGGGTGAGGAACCCGGGGTTACGGGGAGGGAGGGCATGTCACTCGCTAATGCGGGGGTGGTTGATTTTGTCAAGTTTGAGAGGCCTGTGGGGTATGCTCAAGTTTAGGGGACGGTATCTTGGTTGCTGGTAAGGCACAGTGTGTCTCATATAGGTAATCATGCTAGTATACATAAATGAATTCGTCATTCTCGCGGTCCGTCAAATCCATCAGCCCCTGCTGGCCGGTCTCCTCTGTCGACATAGGCGCGTTATCGTCCTCATTCTGTGCGCCGCTCCGCATCGACAGATCCTGCAGTTTGGCCGGCTTGCCATTCTTCACGCGCCGTTTCTCCTGCATGCGGTTCAGCACCACCAGGTTGGCCCACTGCATCAGCGTGACTCCCACCAACGCCACAAAGATCCCCAGACACGCCTTCAGCCCCGGCCGATACGTCGGAGCATCCTTGGCATCAAACAGCAAGGGCCCGATGATGTTGCCCGAGGAGGTCGCAGCATTGAACAAACTCATGCAGACACTCTGCTTCGTCGTGCCACCGGTGTTGGAGACAATCCACGCCACGATCAAGGGATTGCCCCCGAACAAGAACGCCAGCAGGTAGAAACCCGCCATGAGCGCCCCGTTGGCACTGCTATCCCGGGGCAGCGCATACAGCATCGCCAGACCGGCGACCACGGGCAGCACCAGCGCCGCCAGGATGACCCCCTTCATGCTCGCCTTCTGGGCCAGGTAGCTCGCCAGCAGGATGATGATCACCTGCACCGCGCCGAAGGGCATGTTCAGCAGCGTCACATGGTCCGTGCCGAAGCCTAGCCCCTTCAGGATCAGCGGGCCGAAGACGTTGGTCACCGAGGCCCCGATGTTCAGGAGCAGCGCCAGCCCGATCCAGAGGTAGGTCTTGGGCTCCAGCACCGCTTCGACCAGGTGGCTCATCTTGTACTCCCGGGTGCCCGTGCCCGTCTGGTTGGCGCGCAGCCGCTCCACGGCTTGTTCCTTCTCGCTCTCGGTGAGGAAGCGGGCCGTCTCAATGTCGTCGTCGAGGCGCCAGTAGATGATCGGGCTGGTGACGATGGTAAGGAGGCCGACGAAGAGGAAGATTCTGCCCGCATTTCTTGATTAGCATTGCTAGTTGGATGCAATGGATGCAGGAGGGGATCTCACATCTGCCACCCCTTCAAGACATCGGACTTGATCTGACTCAATCCATAGGACAGCGCAGCGGCGATGACGGTCGCCCAGCCGTTGGTGGAGTAGAATGCCGCCACGCGGATCGGCTGCTCGGCGCGACGATACCATCGAGCCACAAGGATGGAGAACAGTGGCAGACAGCCAGCCTCAAACAGTCCGAGGAAGAATCGCGCCGCGAGGAGCTGGCTGAAGTTGTGGCACGCGGCCATGCAGGTCTGAGCGATGCCCCAGCCGAGACACAGACTGGGCATGAGGATCCGGGGTCGGACCTTGACGATGACTATCAGGGGTCAGTTATCACCCCCCAGTTTTTATTCGTTGTACTCACGCCAAGAAGAACACGGCTGCCAGGCCAGCTGGGCGATGGGAGCGATCGACCCGATCAGCGAGTACTGGTTGCCCGTGAGGTGCGTGTCCTCGGTCATACCGTAGGTGGCCCCAAACCCCAGGACGGTCTTATCCAGAATCTGCAGGAAATACACCCAGACCAGGATGGTCAGGATGGCCCAGTCGGTTTTGCGTTTGATTCTCTGGCCATCCTCTTCGGTCAGGGGGATGCGCGGGCGAGGAACGGGGTCAAAGTCGGGAGATGCAGGGTCAGAGCCCTCGATGTGAAGAGCAGCAGGCTTAATGTCATTGTCCATGATGTCGGATGGAAGTATGGATGAGAGAGAAATCTGGGGAAGGGTGGGGAGGGGAAAGATCTACCCCATATAACACCGACAAATGCGGGAAGATTACTAGTCCATTCAGCAAAGTGCCACCCCCACGGACCTGATGAGCTGGTGGTACGATAGGAGCCCTTGCCGGTTTGTAGCAGAGGTCGAGTCGGACACGGCAAAAAGTCAAGGCCAAGCAAGGCCCAGGCAAGGACCGAGGCAAAATGGGCCGACTTCCCCGCTGTCGATCCCCCGTCATTCGATTTCCATCTGCCTCTGGTTCTCGCCCCCCCCCCCCCACCGTTGCACGGGGGCCTCTGGGTTTAGCCTTTATATGCCTGATAGCCAGGAAATTCAAGGTTCCTAGCTTGTTGGTCTGTTTGTCTGGTCAGGTCAGATGATGATGATGACGACGGTGCATCTCATGCAAGGATCTGCTTGTCCCTCACTGGATGCGAGCGCGGTTGCATCAAGCTTGTGGCTTGTGGCGAAACACCAACCCCCACGTCCACGACTGACGGAGGGTCCAAGCGGCCTTGCATCAGATACTCTCCTCATTCTCTTACTTCTCACAAAAGAAGCGATCACAGAAAGACAGATAAGCTTGTCTCTCGGTACGGCGGGCTAATGCACCAGTAGATATTATCATAAACCGATCATCATCGGTATGGTCCCATGACAGGCTCTAGAACAAGATGAGGCGGTCAGGTTCTTATGATGGCAACTCATACCGGACCTCTCCAGGACCCTCCATCTCCGCGGGTACTGATGCACGCGAGTATTTGGGATTCTTCGAGAAAGCCGGTAACTCATGCGATGGCCCAAACTCGCTCCTCGTATCCATCGGGATCATTGCCTCTCGGCTAGCTACCTTCCTACGTCGCCAGAGCAGGTACCAGGCCAGTCCGATCGCCAGTAACAGCGCACAGCCCAGACCCACTCCCACTCCCACTCCGATCTTTGCTCCGGTACCCGACCCCGAAGTCATCGCGGCCGGGGTTGTGGTCTCTGCCGAGGCCGATGCGGCGGTGACAGCCGCTGATGCAGTCAACGCCACAGAGGGGACGGATGTGGCAGACGTAGATACTGCCGTTGTCGTTGAGGTTCCGACTGCTGTCGTGGTAGTCGTACCCGCAGAGATATTGAAGTAGTGGCTGGCGAACACCCCGTCCCAGTCTTCCAGGTCGGTCGCATCGCGGATCTGAAAGAAGAAGACTACGCCGTCGCTCAGGTTTCTTTGCGTGCTGACCACCCAGTCGTAGCTGGTGACCCCGCTGAGATTGGCTGCCGTTGATAGTGGTTAGCATAATGACTACGGGACTCATGGCTGTCAGGTTGCGTACTTTGAAGCCACTCGTAGTCGGAATTGTCATTCTGCCAGAGCATCAGGGAGAGGTATTGGAGGCTGGTCGCCCATCGGAGCTGGACGGTCTGTTCGAGGGTGTAGACGGGGTCCTCCGAGTAATCGTGGATGGGGCCGCCGGTCGGAGGATTGTAGAAGATCCCTGCCTCTGCTCTCGCATGATTGATAAGGAAAGTGTATAGGCATAGGTAGAAGACGCATTTGACCATTTTGCTATGCTATAGGGTGGTGATTTACTCGGAACGTTGTTGCGAGTGTCTGATGCGTGGCTTCTCCCGTCCCAGGGAACAGAGTGAGTGAGAGAGAAGGATGCAAAAGGAGTCATACAGTGAGAGCGGGGAACTCGCTTGACCCCAAAAAAGGGCTTATCATTGCTACAGAGATCCCAAGGGGATGGTTCACCAATGATTACTATCGCTAGTAAGGTAAGAAGTGTCGCCATACCAACACATCGTTTTCTCTGTTGCTATTTTGAGCCCTTTCTCAGGGATAGTTGCATTGGAACGAATCACAGGCATAGTGTGCTGGGCTGAGGGCCGTTAGCACAAACGGTGGAGAAGTCTGACTCGCACCTCTAGGGGACTCCATCATGTTTTCTCTTTGGAGACATCACAGGCAGGGCAAGCCGACACAATGTGACCCTTGGGATGCGTGATGACGGGATGGTTCGACCGGGGTTAACGAGGTTAGCGCTAAAGCGCCGTCTGTCACTGGCTGCAACCAACCCTAACCATGCAGATAAGCTGCGCCGCCATCTTGGCCATGGACTACAATTTGGTGGACGTAAGGCCTGTCAGTGTCGTTATCGCGCCTGTGCGTTCGATCCGCATGGACTGTTGCCGCCCATGGCTCGACCAGCTGCCTGATAAAGGCTCAACCCTCGAGGCTCTCTTACCTGAGAGACATGTAGGCTAATTCGATATTCACCATCTGTTCAATATGCTTTTGGCATCACGACAGTGCCTCTGCCTCACCGCAGCAGGCTGCATTCTCTTGATCATAGCCACCTTGTACCGATATTCCCCGATCGCGTCCTATACAAAGCTAGAACACTCAGCTTCACCCTCGTCCGATGCTTCACCAGTCAGTGACGCAGCCAACTCGACATTAGGCGTAAGCCGTCCTTCTCCTATACACAGGACCAGTAAATGTTAACCTCAGACCAGTTCCAAGCGATCTTCGCCCTCTCCGCCGGCCCCTCCTGGCGAACACGAGGCCTCCTCGCCGCCGCCAACCTCACGGGACTAGAAATCACCCTCCCTCCCCAACCCCCCATCTCCGCCGCCGTAGTCACCGCATTCCAAGCCCTAGGCGACGGCACCCACCCAACCCAAGGCGCCAGCAAAGCCTGGCTCGCGCACCTCGACCTGATCAAACACATCCACCAATCCCGTCTGGACACCGCCCTAATCCTCGAAGACGACGTCGACTGGGACCGGGCCCTGCGTAGCCAAGCCCCGCGGATCGCCGCCGCGGTCCGCAACCTCACCCACACCCCGCCCACCGAGGACAACAACAACGACGCCCCCTACGGCCGGGCCTGGGACCTCCTGTGGCTCGGCCACTGCGGCGAGTTCTGGGAGGACAGCATCGAGACCGTGGTCTTCGACGACCCAGCCACAATTCCGCACGCGCAGTACTCCGGCTGGGCGAGGGAGTATATCGCGCGGTTGCCGGACCGGCGGCGGGCGGTGTATCGGTCGTATAATCCGGTGTGCTCGTTCGCGTACGCGCTGTCCCGCGACGGGGCGCAGAAGGTGCTTGAGCTGGTCGGGGGCGGTGGGGATGAGGCGTTTGATATTGCGGTTATGCATCATTGTCGTGCGGGGAGGCTGGAGTGTCTGTCTGTCGTGCCGGAGGTGGTGCATCAGTATTTCCCGGCGGAGCGGTTCGGGGTTAAGAGCTTGGTGGATGTGGGGAATGGGGAGGTGGATGGGCCGGGGAAGGGGGAAGAGGAGGGGGAGGACTTTGAGGCGGTGATGGGGTCGACGGAGAATATACTGGAGAGTGCCAGGTGTTGGGCTTTATGGCGGCAGACGTGTTTGAGGCTGTAGGTTTCGAGACTGGATATGGAATGTATCGGATACATGGCTGTTTTGGGTAGGGAAAAGAGAGGTCGGACCCGCGGGGTTTATACTGCACCTGGCGCATCTCGGAGTTGACCTCCGATGATTTGGGCGAGTGCGCTGTGTCATGTATGATAAGGTGTGTGAGTACTGGTTGTATAGTACCCTCTTCCTAAAGCTGTTGGGGGTGAAACGTATGTGGGTGCTAAATTGTGCCGAAGAAACGCCCTGACGGGAACAAAGATATATATGTGGACCCCGAGGTTTGACCACTGATTGACAAAAACCAACGGGGAAGTTTTTTCTGGGGGATTGGACACTTCCTGTACACCGAGTCAAGTCTCCAAGAAGCACTGACTGGATTTAGAGATAGTGAGATAGGGAAAAGGCTCGCTATGAGTTGATAGAGAACGGTTCTGTCGTGAGGTTGTGACTGCTGGTTCGAGGTGAAAAGATTTATTGTTTAGCCAGATATACATTAAGATTGAGGCCACTACCACAACAACAGGTGCTGTGGTCTAGTGGTATGACGTCACGTTGTGGCCGTGCCAGCCCCGGTTCGATTCCGGGCAGCGCCACTTTCTTTTTTGCTTTGTATTTGTTTTGCTAGCAAAATTCACTGAATGCCGATGTATTCGTGAGTAAACAAACCCATGATCTAGAATCCCACCAGATTAATCTCCAAACGGATTCTCAAACCCCAACGTCTCGCCCGCATTGCTATAAAGCCCCGCCGGCATTGGCCAGAAGCGCAACTCCATCCCCTGCACAATCGCCCGCTCCCTCTCATCCAACGCCGTAAAATACCACTCCTCCACGCAGTAAAGCAAGTCCCGTATCTCCTCGTCGAACAAAGCATTGCTCGGTCGGCCCGCGCGTTGGACTTCTACCTGAAAGCAATACGCCGGTTCACCCCACGGCTGCTCCTGACCCCCCGCTACAAATAACCCACCCCTCCGCGGACGCCACGGTACATAATCACAATCATCCTCCTCATCCCTCTCAGCGCCCAAGTCCCTGACCAACCCATCCACCTCCGGAACCATGCCCTCGCGCACAGCCCACAGCCAATGCATCGACCGCTCAACCGCCCAGTCCGCGAACGCCGCCCGCTCAAGCGCAGCATTCTCGGGACACAGCTCGTACTCCTCCCCGAACTCATCGACGACAAAGTACCGCCCACCCCCCGCAAGGAGGCGCAACCGGTCCGTCAACGCACTGATCGTGCGCGCGACATGATCGAGCCGGGCGCGCACCGCAGACGCCACGACCGGCCCATCACACAGCGCAACCGGGCTCGTGAACTCGTACCCGCCGTCCGTGGGGGCCACCATCCCCACGAACCACGGACGGTATTTATCCTTGACCACCTCGCTGCGGATCAGCGCGGCCATCTCCTCGGGCGTGCGGCGCCCCAGCGCGACCAGCAGCGCCGCCTCCCACTGTCGGCGCTGGGAGCGCCAGTCCCGCAGCCGGGCGTGGTAGGCGTCCGCCGCGGCGGTGAGTTTGGCTTGGTAGTCGCGCAGGGCGTTGCGGGCGACGAAGAGGCGGGTCCGCGGGTCGGTGAAGGGCGGGTGCAGGAGGACGTCGTCTGCGGGCAGGGCCTCGCCGCCCGCCTGCAGGAGGCTGTAGGTGCTGGAGTGGGTGTTGGGCGCTAGGTAGACGGGCTCGTAGGCTTGGTTGGTCAGGTAGTGGGCGTCGAGTCGGTGCGGGGGCAGGTCGCGGCTGAGGCCGACGCGGATGCGTTGGGGTGAGAGGTCGTCGAAGGCTGGGATTGCTGGGGGGAGGGGCTGGGTGCGCCAGGTGAGGAATTCATTTAGGGTTATGGGTTATGTGGGCTTGGTGGGGGAGGAGGCGGATCGGGCTGATGGGGAGAGAGCTGGTTGTCGAGGGGGGCCGCTTGCCTGCCATTTTGATATGCGAGATTACCAAAAATTGCGATTGTTGAAGAAGGCGGATGGTGGACACGGAGGTGTTGGTGCGCTGAGAAGGACTTTAGGCTTGTGAGAGGAGATGGTGGATCGCGATAACAATATTGCTGGAGAGAAGAGTAAGAGGGGAGAGCAGGTATCTGGAACCAAACTGTATGTAAGATTCAAGTGAGAGGATTATGGCGAGAATCAGAGCAACGGAAAGAAAGCCGCGAGCCAGCAGAGGAAGCCTGGGTGAAGAATGGCTGTTTCGACTCGTTAAGAAGTAAGATCTCGACGTGCCCTTCTCTTGACCCAAATAACCCAGCCCGCAGAAATGCCTCTGATGCCGATCAGGCTCTGGGGGCTACATTTTTGGAAGCGAAAGAGTATAAAGCCGGAGATTTCAGATCAAGCCTGAGGACCAAGCTGATCTCGATCATGAGATGCCTTGGCTATTCGCAACAGTCAACAAATCATCCGAGTCCTGACTATGTGAGTGATGCATTGGGTAACGATGCGAGAAAAGACACTAATTCATCTAGTAAGCTACCACTACAAACAAACAAGAAGTATAGACGTGGCTGATGCATCCACCAGGCTGAACACGGAACGAGCAGAAGCAGGAGCAATCTCAAACAAAGGTATAGTACAGCACCGCGACTAGCATCCACAACATAAGCATTCCACGATCTCGAAGCAGCACTCGCAAGCCTCCTCGCAGAGAAAACAACAGCACATGGTCAAAAGACTGAGAGCCGTTAGCCAAAGTCAGGTCAGCTCGGGTCCAGGTCAGCACATACCAGGTGGTGAGACACCCACGGTCCTTGGACTGCGACTGCTCTTGCGGGGGAGCATACTGCATTTGCTGGGGAGGTGGGTATTGACCACCGGGAGGTGGGTAACTAGAAAGATCTCATTAGTAACAGATTCGCCTAGTAGACTCGGCTACTCCTCTGCTAACGTACTATCCCTGTGGTGGAGGTGGCGGTTGTTGTTGACCGTAGTATGACATGGTGGGTTTTATGGGGGGATGTGAGCACCGACAACAGGAAAAAAGCTGGGACTGAGCCGGGGGATGGGCAAAGGGCAGTAAGCCCGCCTATTATTATAATTCAAACGAGCCCGGACAGCCTAGGCAGAAAGGATTGGCATTTGCCCAAGTCAGCCCTGCCGAGAGGAGAAATCAAACTGGTTCCTCTTGGCCCTGCAGTTGTCGCTGGGGGGTGGTTCCACCCTCCCGGTTGCCATTGGGCCCAGGGACAGGGTAATCGTCGACAGTAATCAATAGTCGGGAGCCGATGTGACGGAAAGAGGAGGTTCAGTCATCCTCAATGGCAGCGTTGGCGCGTGGGGAGGTTACACGTTGGGAGTCCCAGAATAGATAGGTAACACCACACGCCGAGTCTCGAATTGCTTTTTGGGCGCTTGCATTGTGATCGTGGCGGCTGGGAAAAAGTCGGCGTATGCGACAACGACTGGACAGATTAGCCATCTGGGTGCATGAAGTGGATTTGTGCCAATGCTCTATGGTGTTTGCCAAGCAGTCCCCAGCAGTCGTGAGGGTCTCCAGGGTCATGGGAGCAAGAGGAATCGGCGGCCGCGGAGCGAGATTGTGGATGAAGACCGTCAGAAACGCCAAGACTGGCGCTTCGCCCCTTAAGGCTGGACTGGAGGAAGACATGTTTCCGCCCCTCTTCAAGCGCCAATTGGCAATGCAGCCAAGAAGGACTTGCTGCCTCGAGTGTGGACAAGGGGGGGGGGTTGCATCTTGCATGCAGAAATAGTGCTGCCTAGTAGATGGGCCAATCTTTACAAGACGCATGACTATTTGCCACCATACATCAGCTTGGGCTTGTAGCTCAGTGGTAGAGCGCTCGCTTCGCATGCGAGAGGTCAGGGGTTCGATTCCCCCCAAGTCCAATCTTTTTGGCCCTACGCTTCCTTTTTAGCTTCCTTCTCGGCTGCTGTTTAGCGACTGGGCCAATAGTGTTGTGGTCTGGGGCCGGCGTGGTTGCGCCCTTCCATGGTGTGTCTGTTTTTTGCCGCCTTCTTCCAGAAACGACTTGGTGGCGTCTCTCTACGGCCAGCCCCATTCTAATACACATCTTTGTTGCCAAGTGACCTCTAGAGCTATGTACAATCCAGGGACTTTCAAGACCCCGTAGTTACGCTGACCGCATATCACAACCAAGCTCGCCATAAAAGGACGGATTTCAGTGTGAAGACATCACCCACGACAGCCGCGCGATATGCATCGATGAACCTCAGTACCACCATCCACCACAGGCACGTGGCTTGACAGGCCGCACGTAGCATCAGCTTCGGACCGTCAATCCGTGCTACTCAGCCTAGCCAATCCGCTGCTTTCGCCTCACCCAAACCTCCTGCTCGGCAGGCCCCGCGGCCCCCTCCTCCGATGCCGGGGGATCCCGCAATTGCACCTCCCAAACCTTCAACTTGTAGTTGCCACGGTCTGCCTGCCCTGAGAACAGATCGAACGACCACCCGTGCTTGGGACAGTTGATGCCCGCGCTGAGAGTGACACCGAAATCCTCGATATCAAAGACGCTGCCCCAGGATAGTGGATATAGGGCGTGAGGGCATTGCTGGGGGGTATATATGCATCAATGCTTGCTGGTCTACACAACACTCTTAGGATCTAGAATAAAGAAAGAAGGCTTACATGATCAATGGCGTGGAATTTGCCCTTATACCGAAAGACGAGGACCTGCTCGTTGATGTTGCCCGGCATGTCCAGGTCCGCCTCGACGGGGGTGTCGGACGGGCACTCGTCCGTGGTGGCCGTGGTGGCCGTGGTGGGGACATGGAATGCCTTGCAGCTGGCTTTGATCCGCGACTTGGCATCCTCGGAGTCGACGTCCGGGAAGTCGGATGTGAGGCCGACCTTGCGCCAGGTGGCTGCTGTCTGTGATGGTCGGTGGAAGGGGTTCATTGCTGGTATGGGATGGGAGTATAGTTGGGAAAGTGACAATTGAAGTCGATGTGACTCGCTCGCTTTTTCGCGCCTGCCGGGGGAGGGGGGAGGGGGGAGGGAATTTCCGAAGGGCGATTAGTCATCCACCTGAAGTGTTTCTCCGCACCCCACATAAATTTCCCCAGCACAAGAAAGAGGGCTGTCGCATTCCTGTGGTGGTGTTCGGGTTGGATCCAATTGAGACTCAATCCGATATCGGGCATCGCCAGTTCCACTGTAGCAATCGCAAATACTTTCTCGTTCAATACACATACACAGTATAGCACAGGTCCGGCCGGGAGACGGAAATCACAAAACAAAGCTGAGGCAGGTCCAAGCGCCAGACCATACGCTACCAAAATCAACCCGGAAACCACAAACATCCATAGCCCCTATGACACGTCAAGAGACGACAGACAGGACAGGCACACAGCTCAGCGGATGCTCAGACACATGCCGTCCTTGAGCGCCTTGATCATATCCTTGGTCAAGGGATCCTTCTTGTTGAAGCTCTGCGCCTTGCGCTCGGCGGGCGAGTAAGTGGTGATATCCAAGGAGTCTCCACCGATCGACGCCTTGCCCCGGCGGCCCGCCCCATAGGCAGTGGCCTTGTTCTTGCGCTCGTACGCCTTGAAGCCCGCCGCCCAGCCCCAGGGATCCTGGGCGGCTGCGGGGAGTTCCACGTTCTGCTCCTCGGCCTCCTCCTCGGCCTCCTCCTCGGCCTCAGCGATGATGTCGGCGATGTTCGACGGCCCGTACATGATGATGTTGTGCTTGGCGCCGTAGGCGAGCAGGTACGGCACAAAGTGCTCCCCGGCGTAGGCCTTCTTTTTCTCCTTCTTCCCCTCTGGCGCCTCGATGAACCAACCCGTCCGAGCGCATGGCGTCGGCTTCCCGCGCGACCATCCCCATGACCCAGCCGAGGTTGCGCACGTGGGCCAACTGACCCTGTTGCTCGAGTTCTACCAGCACGCTCAGGAACATCAGCTCGAGGATGATTATGGTCTCCCCGAAGAGGCCGCCGTCGTCAATTCTGGCAACTGATAAGCACCGCCCATAGCATTTGTATCAGCAGAGAGTGAGTCCTACCCAACCATGGGGTCGAGCGAGTCGGTGTTGAACAGCAGGGCGAGCGCCTCGCAGATGGCCCACTGCTCCTTCCAGTTGCCGGCGGCCTCGTGGAAGTCGAGCAGCATGTTCTGGGCCACTTCGATGGCGCCGTAGCCGGCGTGGTCGTTGAAGGTGTACATGTCAAAGGCATCCGGGTTGCGCAGATTCAGCATCTCCTGGTAGGTATTCAAAGCGCTGCATGCCGGCGCGCGAGATGGTCCAGCGGTGGTCGGGATGGTCGGCCGCCGGCTTGCGACACATGCAGCTCTTCCCCGCGTCGCAGTCGGTCGTAGGCTCGTCGTTCTCGTTCTCGCTGTCCTCCTCGTCGTCTTCGTCCTCTTCCGCCCTGGGGACCCGGCAGATGCAGATAAACTCGTAGGGGTTGGGCTTCTGCTTGATGAAGAGGTGATAGGCGACATCGGCATTACCGGAGGCGGAGACCGCGGCCCAGCGCTTGTTGCGCGGGATGTTAGCTGTTTCGGATGCCATTGTGTGTTGAGGTGAGATGAAAATGAGATGAAATGAGATGAGCTGTGGAAGGAATGAAGATGGGATGAGAAATGGGAATGGGGGGGGTGAATGGTAAAATAAAAGGAAAAGGATAGAATTTGAATGTGTTGAACGTGATCATCGATGGATTAAATTCCACCCATGATAAGTTAACTAGGCGTGTTTGTTTGTCACAACGCGCGCGGGACGCGTTGTTTGCTTGTGGTGTCGTCATTTACCACCTAGAAAATTAAAGAAACCTCGGCACCGTTAAGTTACTGTCCATCACTCATGTTTAGTGCCACTTTCTGCCGTGTCTCTACATCCTGCACTCTTTCTGAAGCAGAATCATTTGTGCCGGAACTGACTTTGTGGCAAAAGTAAGGGAGTCTTTGACAGGCATGTCATGGGTGGAGCGCTATGTGGGCCCCTGTCAGATCACCTTCTGTACAGTACGCGGTATGCATCCTCCCTACCTGTCGATCAAAGGCCTCGGAAAGACCGGGAGTGAAGACTACAATCAATTCCAACCGTGATATCGAAGGAGAGATGTGAATGGAAGGACCCCCCAGAAACCCGTGCCCGTGGATGGACACTGCAAGAAAGAGGCCCGATTAGGTAAGCTGGCTCTTTGCGCACGGCCAATCATGGCCCGAGAACTCATTTCCTCAGCTTTGACTGACTGCATACTTCCAGCTGAAGAACAACCACTGAAGAGCCTGTTATGTATGTTTCTGGAACCTATAGAAACTGCTTGTCTCCAGACACAAATCACTGTTGAGGCTTATTGGTCTGTGACCAAGTAAGCGGATGTACTGTGCAGCAATGCTACCCTGTACCTCACTTATCTCCGACCCAGCTGCCCAGCACAGCATCAGATACCCAATGATCAAGAGCGATGGATGTCTCGAAACTACGGACCTGAAGGCATATTGCTTGAGATGATACTACGTCAAGCATTACAGTACAGCGATTCGAACCAAAGACCTTACCAGATGAAAACATGTGTACTGAACAGCAGACGACCGCGTATATCAAGAAGTTCTCCAGAAGAAAAGATTCGGCAAGCATAAGATACCAAAGCTATGAATTCAGAGCCGATAACTTGATTACTGCATCGAAACTAGTTTCCAACTGCCCGTGAGTCCCTGGCAGCGACCCGTCTGACGGACACAATCCCTACTGTGCAATCAGCTGAGCAATGTCTACATCCTGTTTGTACGTGCAGTCAGCATCCAGTCAGTGCGGTCACAGGCGAAAAATGCCACCATACCTTCTCGTTGAAATCGTCTCGTCCCGTGTAATACCGATCTAGGGACTCATAGGTCATTGTCGGCATACCAGGAACCAAAGCAAGGTCCCACCCCGCAGATATCGCAGCTGCATCACCGCCCTCGCGCACCCTCTCTGCAAGCTGCGCATCCGACGGCACGTTGAATGCAAAGCGTTGAAGAATTTCTTCTTTCTGCTCTACGGAGCCCCGCATCCAATCCAAATAATGTGGCTTGTTCGGCTCGTCCATCTCCTGTCGACCCCCACGACGCGAGACATTGTCCGCGACCAGCACGGACTTACCAGGCTTCAGCAGCCCCAATCTCTCGGCCAGCCAGAGATCAGGGAGATAGCGATCCTTGAAGTGATCGAGGAAGAGGACATCAATCCCATCGTCGAACACCCCTTGACTCATCAGCCGGGCCAGAGACAAATGCGCCGGGGCCACCAGCAGGGTGATAAAATCCTTCAACCCGGCCAAGTCGATCAGAAGACTTGCAATGGCTGCGTTGACGGGGTTGATCTCTAGACTGAAATAGTGCTGGCCTCCGGCTTGGCGCACCGCGTGGCCGAACAGAATGGTCGAATACCCGACGTACCCGCCAAGCTCGACCATGATTTGCGGCTTTCGCTCGGCAATAAGCGAGGAGACCACGGCGCCTTTCTCCGGGCCAATGTGAATCAGATGGGACTGCTCTCGGGCGAACCGGTCAATCTCTGCCAAGACTGCTGCCGGGTTGCCACGGAGGGAGGTCTCCAGATGAGGCAGGGAGAAGATGTGTTGCAGGAGAACGAGCTCGCGGCCGTCCTGTTGCCACGCAACTATTTAGCTCCTGCTGCTTGACTGTGACTGGGAGGTAGGTGACATACTTCACGGTTATACCTGGGATTACCCATCTCGGATGCTTGAATTTATGCTTGATGCTAAAGATCGAAGGGAGTGTCCTGCGGAAAAAAAAGGTGATTACATGCCTACTGCATTCTGGACCACAGCCGACCATTTTATCCCTGGAACGCCCGCCCCGATATCCATGGTCCTTGGATTGTATGATTCCTATCAGATTACTGCCGAAGTCCGAGGTCTTGGCTCTCGCAAACCGGTATCGAATCGGGGCTAGCGTGGCGGTAGAAACCCGATGGAACCGGGTAGGGCTCAAGTCAAGCCCTAATCAGATACATTCTTTCGCAGACGCCTTCATAGGACAATCACATTAAATAAGCGCCGAGCCATGCCGATTTTGATAATCTGATCATCTGATAAACTCTGTTTCTTCGCCATCGTTTGCATGCGTGCTACTCAGCCTTGTCGAGATGGTTTTTCCAGGCAAGCTAAGCTCCGGCTGTGTACTCTGTCGGAAGCGAAAGGTCAAGGTACGAGGGAACTTGTTCCTTAGTGCTCTACATTTTTTCGGCAATATTTGTACATATACTGACAATCAAGTCCAGTGCGACGAAGGCAAGCCGGGCTGTCAGCGCTGCAGCACGCACGGGGTCTCTTGTCCAGGCTATCCCGACTCCTTCGCTTTCCGAGGATATGAGCTTGCGCAGGGAAGCACTGCCGGGAAGTTGAAAGTCGTCCGAAACGCGAGGTCATCTCCCTCTAGCCCACGTGAGCTGAAGCAGAAGAAGGTCGACTCCGCGAAGATGCAGCCAAGAAGCACGATTGCTTCAATCATTCCAGAGGACAGCGAGCTGATGTCACTATGCTACTTTCACCACCACCATGTGCTGAGAGTCCAGCGATCGCCCTGCGAGGGCCATCTGGCCTTCTTCCCGGACCTCTTCCAAGAGCGGGGCAACGATCCGTGCTTCAAGCATGCCGTTCTCTCGGTGTCCTACCTGACGCTCTTCCACAGGGCGCGGGTGCCCAAGTTCCAGATCAATGCACGAAGGCACTATGGTGTGGCCTTGCGGCTGTTGAATCAGGCGCTGAGCTTCAGCCAGGCGCAAGTACGCGATGAGATCTTCGCCGCCTCGTTGTTCTTGAGCATGTTCTCGGTAGGTAGGCCTGACAAGGATATACAACGAACACTGATACCGAACGTGACTAACCGAGGACCTGGCTAGGATTTGAGCGGGGAGGGTGCGACGACAGGATCCCTGAACCCCCACATCCCCGGCATCTACTCCCTCATGCAACTGCGCGGCGTCCCGTCGAGAAGCAACAAGTATAGCCGGCGCCTCTGCGGCTGGGCGTACACCCAAATGGTGAGTACCAACGCGCCCTCCCGTTGCAACCAACAGAGCACGCCCTAAGCCCACCCCGCAGCAAGTGCAAGCGATGATCCGCCGGGAATTCCGATATGCCTGCATGCCGCCCTCCTTCGACGGGATCACCCGCCCGTGCACCGTGATCCGCTCCTCGATCCTGACGGGCAAACTCTCCGACTTCTGCATGCAGGTCACCGTCGCTCGTTGTCGCACGAGCGCCTCGTCCCCGATCCCCGCCGACACCCTGCACGCGCTGCTGGTCCAGGCGTGCACCCTGCTGATCGAGCTCCACAACTGGCAAGCCACCATCCCCGACCACTGGCGCAACCAATATGAGAATCCTACACCCGCACCTACACCCTCGCCGCTCTCCGAGCACGCCGCCGCCGATTCTCACAGCACGTCCGAATCCAGCGCGCGGGATCCGTGGACCACCTGCTTCCTAGCCGGGGTGCAGGCGGCCCAGATCTCGTTCTACCAGCAGTTCCTCGACTGCTGGGAGGAGTGGTGCTTCCTGCAGGGCCGACACGCTTCCCTACCCGAGTTGGCGGTGCTGGGGCTTCCGGATGATCCGGCGATGTTCCTGCTGGATGGGATCGCGTATCTGGTGGAGGTGATCTGCGCGACGGTCACGAGTACGCTTGGCGGTCTTGATGCAGAGGCACGCCACCGATTCCGGTTGCATGAGCATGCCAAGCTGGCCAATGGGTATACGCTGCTCTGGCCGATGTGGGTGGTCGTCAACTGCCCCTTCGCCGACCCGGATCAGATCATGCTCTGTCGGGCGGCGATTGAGTGTGTGGGCTCCACCATGGGGTATAAGCTGGCCTTGCATTTAATTGAGCCGGGCCGTGGGGGTGGGCTGACTCCTGACTGAAGCATGGGTCTCACTGTTCGAGAAGGTAAACGGTATCCTATCGGATACCTGACTGGTTGCTTGTGCACCCGACTCGGCGGCCTGGAGACATATTACCTGAATCCTAATCATACTGCTCCAGTCAAAAAGGCCTACGGGTATAGCATACGCCGAGCTGACTGACCTCGACCTCAACACGCAGTAATCCCCATTGAGCATGTCTTGTACAAAGATATGACCGCAGCTCAGTACGATGGTGAGAAGTTTTGTCGCACCCAGACACGGCAGAAACTGGAGTTTTCTACAATCTGCTTTGATCTACACGAAACACGATGGCTGTCCTCGAAGGGATCAATCACAATGAATCCGCCACAATTCCCGATCCGCATTGTTTCGATACGCGGTGCGGGTATGCAGCATGGCCGTGTTGTCGTTGACAAGCACATCGCCCACCTCCCACGCGAGCCGCAGACACACCCGATAGTCATACAGGAGCCGGTCGATGATAGGGATCAGCCGGGCGCCGCCGTCCGCGGCGTTCTCGATCGTCACCACGCAGGTGGAGAACTTGGTCTTGCTGGCGTCCCACGGCTGGTGCCAACGCAGACAGGGGCGGCCGGTCACCGGGTGCGTGACGAGCAAGGGCAGCTGGTGGATCTGGGCGTCCCAGAAGCCGTCGTTGTCCATGCCCCAGGTCAGCGTCTGCAGCTGGTCGACGGTCCAGGGGTGGGGCAGGTGGCGGAGAAGCAGCCGCGAGCTGGGCCAGAGGGTGAATCCGTCGTTGGGGGAGGTCACCTGGCAGGTGAAGAACTGATACCGGGGAAAGGCCTGGCGCCGCTTGGTCGCCCCGGTGACCGGGTCGGTGACGTGCTCGAACTTGAACATCCCGTCGAAGTGCATGGGCATCGCCTCGCTCGACTCGACGTTGTTGTTCAGCTTGTCCACCCGCTTCGAGTCCTTGACCTTCTTGATGATCCCGTGCGTCCACGGCAGGACCTCCCCCAGCGCCTTGGCGGATTCGATGAAGACGGCCTCGTCCTCGGTGCGAGCGAATCCCCGGCAGAGGATGCGAGAGAAGTGGTGGGAGAGCTGGCGGACCTTGCGCATGGGGATGGACTGAATGGTGGGGGCAAGCGCACCATTCTCCATGGTGGGACGGATCACGAGCCCGCAGGGGTAGAGATTCTCGAACTGCACGTTCAACCCGTCTTGCGTCTAGTCGAAAAGCTCCGAGCGCTCCCGGTAGCAATACGGCCGGCCGTCCCTCTAGACGAGCTCGTAGGTGTCGCGCACCTGGTCGGCGTGCGCGGTTCGGTAGGCGCCATTCAGCCCGACCATAACGCAGGCATGCCACGGCGTGTGGCCAGTCGAGCGCATCTTATCCTGTGGAAGCAGGGAGACGGACAGCTTGCGGCTGGCCGTCGACTCGTGGATGGAGAGGCGCACATAGTTCCCGCGCTGGGCCTTGTTGGCGGAGGCGTAGATCTGCCCGCGCGCAAGCATGCGCCGCGCCGTCTGCGAGATCTCTTCGGCCCGCGCCCGTTTAGACTTGGCCAGCTTCCGGCGATGGGCGAGATCCTTGGTCAGGAATTTGAAATACCCCCGATACGTGAGGAGGAGGTCCATGTCTGCTTTGATGGCCTCCCGGGGATCGAAAGCGGGGTCCTGAAAGCGCAGGGCGAGCTCGCGGCGCAGGCAGGATGCATGCGCCACGTAGAAGAAGTCTTTCGTGGATCCGGGATGCCCCAGCAGGTCGGCCAGGCGAATAAATCGAATCTGAGCATGATAGACACGATGATCCCGCCATCAACTTCTCCCTGTAAAATGCGCAAGGGTTAGACTACCACCCTGCCAGATGTCTCATTCCATGCCCCGCAACATCTTCAATCTGAGAGCTACTATGCACAGATAACACCCCAAGAGATAAATCCCCTCGTCCAGGACACGGTATCAGTGGTAAAACCCATAAACCACACTTCTCAAGCTCCCTGGCTTCAATCCTCCGACATGACCGTACCCAACCCCCCAACCGATACGATGTCCTCGTAATCGGAGGGAGCAACGCCGCCCTGGTGGCCGCCCTCTCCGCCCACCAAGCCGGAGCACGAGTCGCCATCTTCGAGGCGGCCTTGCAGGCCGCGCGCGGGGGCAACAGTCGCTTCTCGTCCGGCATCTTCCGCATCCCGCACGACGGGCTTGACTCCTTCAAGCCCCTGCTCCACCCCAAGGCCGCGGCCGACGTAGCCTACTGCCGCATGCGGCCCTAGATGTACCGGGGCGACGTGGAGCGCACGAGCAAAGGGCAGTGCGACCGCGCCCAGCTGGCCGTCATGCTGTCTGGCGCCTTCGAGACGGTGACCTGGATGTCCCAGACCCTGGGGGTCAAGTGGCAGCTGCCGCTGGGCAAGTTCTTCGACCGTGAGAAGATCATCCGCGCGCAGGCGACGGTGGACATGCCGCCGTGGGACACAATCATGGCGATTGGCGAGGGAATGGGGCTCATGGCCGACCTGTGGGCCGCCGTGGAGCAACGCCCCGAGATCACCGTCTTCCACTCCGCGCCTGTGGCGGATCTAATCGCCGAGGGGGACACCATCCGGGGCCTCCGCGTGCGCCACCGCGAGACCACCGCGGAGTATTTCGGGCAGGTCATCCTGGGCTGCGGCGGGTTTGAGGCGTCCGCCCGGCTGCGCCGGCAGTACCTGGGCGAAGGGTGGGATCCTGTCTCGCTGCGGGGCGGTCGCTTCAACACGGGGAGGATGATGGAGAAGGCCGTGGCGGCCGGGGTGGGCGTGGCCGGCCACTTTGGGGGCTGCCACGCCACCCGCATGATATTCACGCGCCCAAGATGCTCGACCCCTCGGACCGCGACAAGATGAGCCGCTACAGCTTCCCCTACTCCGTGTTAGTCAACACCGAGGGCCGTCGCTTCCTCGACGAAGGGGAGGACCATTTCAGCCTGACCTACGCGAAGACCGGCGCCGCCATCGTCCGCCAGCCCCAGGCCACCGCCTTCCAGGTCTTCGATCAGAAGACCCTTCACCTGCTCGAGCCGCGTTACGCGACCTCCAAGCCCATCCACGCCGACACCCTGCCAGAATTGGCGCAGAAGATGGGGGTCGATGCGACCAATTTTGCGGAGACGATTCGCCAGTACAACGCCGCCACGCCCCCGGATGCGGTCAAGAAGTTCAATGCTTTCACCCTCGATCATGTCTCTACAGGCACTGCGCTGGCCATTCCGAAGAGTGACTGGGCTCTGCCCATCAACCAGGGCCCGTTCGTGGCCTATGGCGTCACGTGTGGCATCACGTTCACCTACGGCGGGTTGCGCACGGATGATGCGGCGCACGTCTTGAATGAGGAGGGGCTTGTCATGCCGGGTCTCTGGGCGGTTGGAGAAATTTCTGGGGGCTTCTTCGCCTTCAATTATCCGGGGGGCTCGGGTTGACCAAGGGGGCGGTCTTTGGGAAGTTTGCCGGCGAGGCGGCGGCTCAGAGGGCGAAGACACTCCATGCGCCCCGGTGTTTTCCAGTACGAAAAGCCCAGTTACATGAGTATGAACACTGCCAAGGAGGATTACACAAAGTAACAGATCGGGGAAGCGGCAGCTGGACTTCACGATTGCGTATGAGAATGATCTGCATGAGATGAGTCGATTCTCGGAGATCCGTGGGGCAGATCCACCCAGCATGACTCGCTGTTTGCGCGGTAACCAAGATTTGTTATCAGCTGAACTACCCCACCATCGATCGATTTCTCAGATGACGTAAAGAACGCAGATCCAATTCAATTCTAGCTCAAGCTGAAAACTACATGAAGTAGAAAGAGCCAGTCAGCTCCTGACAATGGGGAGAGCCCCACGAGCTGAGAACTTTACTCAGTCGGATTGCCCACCCAGCCCCTCCACCAAAGCCGATGTGATAAGACGACAACAAGATCGATCCACATAACGTGGCTGGGCTAAGCCGCAGCTGAAAGCTTACGCTGTATTCCCCAAATGCTTCTATAAATTGAGCTTCAGGCGAGGTTTCTGCTTCCGGTTTGTTGCCAGCATCCCAGCACATCCATCAACCCCAAGACCAAGACCAAACTTAGGATCTATATCAATCAAGACCATATTCGAAGCCTAAGACTGCCACAAAATGCCTCTCAGAGTCCTTGAAGAGTACGCCTGAGCTCACCCTCCCCTCCATTTACTCGCCTTTGACTGACCTCCGTCTCGTCTTTTAGTCCCGGCGAAGTAATCGAGGCGATCAACGAAACCCCGAAGCCAGTCGTTGTACATTACTGGGCGCCCTGGATGGGGCCCGAAACGCCTTTCCTTCCAGTCTTCTTGGGGGCGGATGAGAACCGGGGAGATGAGATTGACTTGGTCATTGTGAACAGTGGCTTCATTCTCCCGCCGCATTCCCCCGACGAGATGCCCTTGACGGTTCTTTATAGGGGCGGGGAGGAGGTGGAGACTGCACCCTTTGATCCCGACCAAATCCAGCAACTTATTGATAATGCGTGAGGGATAGGGACTGGAAGGGTCTTGTTGTGCGTGAATAGAATCTTAAGGAAATTGCATTTCATTTTAAAAACACATTCAAGGAATACACCTATGGTTCAGCTTGAGTAGAGCAGGGAAACAGCCTCTGTATTCACATTACAGCGCTGGAATAGCCCTCGGCTCACAAGGGGGGGGGGGGGAAGCCCTATGCCGAGGCCAGTAAAGAGGAACACAGACATAAAAGGAAAGAGAGTAGCCAGCGGGGCAGAAGAAAAAAGCCCGATTATTCCGATAGGAGTCAGTACCGATCAGCGAGAAGCCGAGCTTGTCATTCTCGTCTACCGCCCTGCCCTGAGCGCCAGTGAGGTAGCCGGTCCCGAATCAAGGCATTCAGGCGGCTGACTAAATGCCGTCAAAGTGCTGAATGTTCTTGGTTGGTCAGTTTTACCAGGATGGACCTAGAACGAGGATGACGTCGCAAATATTGGCAAGGATGGAGAGTTCGATCAAGAGGCAAAAACATACAGCAGAAGGGATTCGCTGGTGGTCACCCACCCAACTACTAACCTCCCGGCGTGTGGCTTAAGTACGGCTGAGCGGACGGGAAGCCCTGTTTTCCACACCCTGTGGTCGTATGTACTAGCTTAAATAAAGGGAGGAAAAATATAGCCCTAATGCAACGAGCTTGCCAGAGCCAGTCGCCTCTAAAGCGGATGATGTAGTATCAAGGAAGGGTATTTATCTGAATCTTAAAGGTAGTATTGAATTTACGAAAGAGAAATCAAGTCAGCAAGGCCAGCCACGCCGCACCCATCACTGAAACTGAGCTCCAGGAGGCGGGATCCAAAGCGGGTTCCGGCGGCACCGGTGCTTAAATTGTGTCAAGAGGTGCGTGATCTGAGCAGATTCCAGCGCAACACTGTACGCGTGCCCCTGCCAGCGGCCATTGACAGGGGCGTGCAGGGCCAAGGGGTCGGCGGCCAGGCGCTTCGGCTCACGGTCGCGGTACATGGCGTAGAGCCGACACTGGCGGTTGACGAGCACAATGCCCTTGAAATCCAGGGTCCGCCCCGCCGTGGCCGGAGCCAGACTCTGGAGGTGCAAGAAGCGCTTGCGCCCCGGCCCGGTCTCCTCCGGCACCCCCGGACGGGTGTCCCCCACCATGGTGAAGAATGTCCCGGAGCTGGGGGTCGAAATCTCGACGAACTCGTTCAGGACCTGGTTCTCGTCGTACGTGTTGGTCGACCACCCCCGGAGGTAGATGTATCCCTCCGCGCGCGGGAAGACCGAATCCAGGATGGTCATCACTTGGTCGAACAGGGTCGGCAGTTGCGGCTGCGGCTGCTGTGGCTGCGGCTGTGCCATGGCTACGGTTTTGATATAAGTGATAGATGACTCAAAAAACACTTAATAGTCTCGTGCTTTGTGATGTCGATCAGGTAGTCTTGTCACAGAGGCGGATGGGGATGATGAGACTTCCATATAAAATTACGAGATGTGAGACGTACTTATATGGCCTCGAGGGCATCAGAAAATCTCGGAACTCACTGCATGCTGGCTCTTCAGCACACGGAATACTTCTGTTATGCTAAAAGAGCAATTGGAAGTCCCCGGTCACTTAGCTACATAGGATGCAGTAGATTTCCATTAGCGGTTATATGGGGAGATTTCATGAGGTGTTCCATAAGATGCTGAGACATGAAAGCAGTGGAGAGGCATATGCCGCTGCCGACACTCAATGTAGATATGTACCATTTCAGCAAGACACTGCGTAGCCGGAGACTATCAGAGGTGTATGGTGGGTGTCGCAGATGAATGGCATAATAAAGCATCCGGCTCATAATACTTGCATGTCTGGTAGAAGCGAGTGTTATAGATAGAGGCAACCATGGGAGGGGGAAAGAGATTGGAAGCTTGCACTTGCAATCCTCTGATATCTCCATGCGAGCAGGGTGGATGAGGATGATGGACGGCCTAGGGCTTGGGTTTTGCCTCTTTCGCCGGTAGGGCGAATAGATTTGATTTCCACCTCACATGGTCATAGTCACTTTAGTTACTACCTACTTACAATATACCACATATCACGTTCAGTACGCAGAAATACTATATCCCGACACTCCCTCCAACCGCAACAACAACTCACTTCCCCTCCGCATGCACGAAAGTCAACCGCCCCGGTTTCTCATCCCCGTCCAACTCCTCCATGATCACCCCGGCCCGCCTGCGCGCGATGAAACCCTTGGTCTGCGACCCCGGTACCAGCCAGGGTTCATGCTCGAACAGGGCCGTCATCTCCTCGAGGGGCCGTAGGGCGGTCTCGGGCAGCACCAGCCAGAAGAAAATGGCGTTGGTGAAGTTACACACACAAAAGACCACGTAGAAGCGCCACCCGCCGATGTTGTCAATGGCGATGTCCGTGACCTGGCCGATCATCGTGTTGAAGGCAAACGAGGTCATGGTGGCGATGGAGACCCCCTTGGAGCGGGTCTTGGTGTCGAAGATCTCGGCGCAGATGATCCACGTCAGGGGGCCGACGGTCGCGCTGTAGGAGAAGTTGTAGCACCAGGTCATCACGATGAAGGCCCAGCTGGCGGAGGTGTTGTTGGAGACGCCGGGCGGGAATTTGGCGATGAGGATGGTGGGGATGACCTTGATGATGAGATTTGTTAGCGCGGTTTATACTTAAATCTGTGTCTTCTTGGATCTGTCGCATTGAAGAGATAGTTGGTGGAAGGGGGCGCATACAAAGAACAGGCAATTAAACAAGTTGCCAATGATCTGGGGCCAGCGACGGCCCGTCTTATCGATCATCATCATGCAGCAGAACTGAGCAATGATGGCGATGATGGAGCTGATGCCTTGATACTTGAGAGTGTCGTTGGCGGCGATGCCGATCTGCTCGAAGATGGTCGTGCTGAAATACTGGATGGCGCTCACCCCTGTCATCTGGGCTGCAGCCTGGATCGAGCACGCCAGAAACAGGCGGCGGAAGCAGGACGGGTCCGTGAAGAGCTCCTTGTAGGATTTGGCCTCGGCCTCGTGCTCGTGGGCGATCGAGACGGTGATCTGTTCGTACTCGGCCTGTACCCAGGCGTCGGAGGTGTCGCCTCGGGCGTGGAGGCGAGCCAGCGTCGCGAGGCCCTCGTCCAGTCGGCCATGGTCGATCAGCCAGCGAGGCGACTCCGGGAACAGCAGGATGAGTGCGGCCAGAAAGACGGCCGGCACCATCTGGATCCCCAGCGAGACGCGCCACTGGCGGGAATCATCGTCCGCGAAATTGATGAAGGTGCCCCAGGAGATCCACGATGCAACCAGGGAGCCCACGCCGAGCATCAGCTGTTGGAGGGATGTGATCCGGCCACGAATGTTCGGATGGGCCAATTCCGCCTGGTAGATTGGGACAATCATGACCAAGATTCCGACTCTTCAACCCATGAAAGAAACCCATTCAGTCAGCTCATGCAATTCCTTGGACTTTAAAGATATGCTCACCCCAGCCCTGCGACGGCTCGACCAGCGTACAGATAACTCAAGCTCTGCGCACCTGTCTGCAAACCTCTGTTCCCGTTAGCCTCCTTGCTATGGTCCAGCGCTGCTCAAAGATCGCGTACCCGCCCAGCAAGAAGATCAGGGCTCCGACGAAGATGGTCCATTTCCGGCCGGCATAGTCGCCCAGTGAACCGGCAAAATAGGCACCAAAGAAGGCGCCACCGGTGAAGACGGAGGTGACTGCTCCGCGTTTGGTCGCGTCGGCGTCAAAGGCATTGATAAGCGAGGGACTGGTGAGTGCCTCGGCGATAACACCCAGATCATATCCGTACAGCACCGATCCCAGCGACGCAAAGACACACACCAGAAACTGATACCATTTGGGAGGGAGAGCCATGGTGAACCCGGGCCGTGCGGACAAAGAAAAAAAAGCAACAGGAAAAAAAAAGCTTGACTGTGCCACATTAATTCCTCCCCGATTGTCAAGCTTTATGCAAAGGTCTTGGTGGTGGAAAAAGAGGGGGAAGAGGAATCCCCCGCAGGAGTTTTTCCCTTTTGCACTCTGATGCGTCTCCGGGATGGCGCCTGAGCCGCCGAAGGTGGCGTGGTGTCGCTCACTCACACGCCAGCCTTCATGAACCAACGCCGCTGGCTTATCAGAGTTAAGCCTTGCGGGTGGCTTTGTACAATAACTGCTTGGTCCTATGCCGGGGCCCCAGAATTTCACGCCCCCCTCCCCGCCGGAGTCTGTCACTGTTTGTTTGTGGGGTGATTTGGGGAACTGAGTCATTTGACTGATAGGTTATGAAGCGGCTTCGCTCATTCGCTCGTCATCATGGTGCTTGCCACGTCCCTCCAGATTATGGTTCATGGCATAGTCAAATCATAACTCTGATCTGGATCCATTATGAGAACCGAACCTCCCCAGCTGTTGGCGAATTTTCCGGGAATGAAAGGCCGGTATACGTGGTGAAGTTTTGTCATGACGCGGAGAGGCCCTGCAATACATTTTCTAGTCAGGGACTCGAATAACACCTGGTATCATGATCGGTAAGACAATAATCGTTCAAGGTGGGACATCAATCACGGTGACTGTGGCTGAAGGTGGCGTGGCTTGGCCCTGAAGAGTATGAATATGTCAGCGGGAAGGCCGAATGCCGGGCGGGCAGTGCCGGACTTAACTATGGAATTAAATAGGGCTGAGTCGGCTGAAGCCGGAACGGCCACGCGGCCTCTGCCATTCCACCCATTCGACCTCAATCTAGACTTTCAAACTGTGGACACAGCGTTAGTTCGGGGAAATCTACCCGGATAATCTGGTTGGCTCTATCCAAGAAACAAGCGTTCTTTTTTCATGGTACGTGGAACGCGCCCGCGCATACACACACACACTCCCATCCACAATTTCACACTCAGGCACACCAACAAGATAATGGTACGCGATCTCCGGGACGTCGAAGCGATTTCTACTGGTCTGGATACCCTGAATGACCTGGACAAAGAAAAGAAAAACCAGAAAAAAAAATAAAAGAGGAAGGAAGAAACGGACGAATGAGTCAATTGAAAAGTATGTATTCCAACTATGAGATCTATGGTATGGGTATCGCATCTACCGGTGCGACGCGGATGTAGCCTAGTTGGAGTGCTGCACGGGGGGCAACAGCGCGATCTTAGAGTCCAAGCTGAATGTGAAGGAGTCGGAGGAAGAGGACTCCGACGAGGAGGAGCTGGTTGCCGAGAAGGAGGACTCCGACGAAGAGGAAGACTCGTAAGAGGACGACGAAGAAGTGGCCGAAGAGGAGGCTGACGACGCTGATGACGACGTAGACGAGGCAGAAGAGGAAGAGGTAGAGGTGGAAGTGGAGGACGACGAGCTCGACACATAGACATCGCCCACGGAGTTGACGGCATCATCGGTGAACATGTAGTTATTGGCGCAGTAGAAGAAGGCGTAGCGTGTCACAGAGGACTGGGAATCGAGCCAGGAGACCGCCTCATCGAGGAAGCTCACGGTGGTGTCGGCGTCGGAGACACCGCTGGTGTCGGCGCTCAGGCCGAATTCGGTAAGCCAGACCTCGGAGATGTCGTAATCGGCGGCGGCCTCGATGGCTTCGTTGACAAAGGTCTTGAGTTCGTCGACCGAATCACCGTACCAGTGCACAGCGAGGGCGGAGATGTTGCAGCTGGAGCAGTCGCTCATGAAGCTCTTGAACCAGTCCAGTCCCTCGCCGCTGCTAGTGGAAGAGGTCACGGCGGGACTGACTAGCTTGGCGCTGTTGGCGTAGGGGGTGATGTACTCCGCGTAGAGTTCCGCCGCGGTGGCAGCGGTCATGTCAGCCTGCGACGACATGTCGGGCTCGTTGAAGCCCAGGATGTACGAACTGCCCGACGAGAGTGCGGTCTCCACCGCGTCGGTCCAGCCATCGACATAGTCGGAGCCAGAGCCCCAGAGCATAGGGACGTAATCCACGCCCGAGGGCATGTCGCCTCCCATAGAGCTGCCCCAGTTGTACGACCACGACACGGTACCAGCCTCGTCGTTGGTCAGGGTGCTCACCAGGGTAGCATCATTGTACGCAGCACCGCGCTTGCTCGTAGAGCGCTTCTGCAGGCTGGTTCTCCGAGTTTGAACCGGGAAGGCAACAGCCGAAGCAGCAAGCAGACCAGCGGTCAGAAGATGGGCGAAAGAGGGCATCTTGCGGACAATAATTGGACAGGGTCAAAGGATTGAATGAATGGGTTCTCGAATGAGAGATAGGACTGGGAAAGGACTGTTTTGGGACAAATGAATGACCTGACGCAGTAGAAGGAAAGACTGGGTGCACAGCACACGATGCGAACAAGGAATGAATGAATGATGAATTCAATTGACCAGGCGATGGAGGCATGGGTGATGAAGCAGGGGAACGTGTGTTATATAGGCAAGCGAGCTCTAAGTTGGCAGGTAACCGCCGGTCGCCCGGCATTGCGGCCATGGACGACGGTGCCTGAGTGGGCGCATGGCTGAGAATCTAGAATCGGTATACCAACTGCTGACAGCCCCGCTGCTGCGTAAGTTAATGATGGCCGCCTATCCAAGCCCTAACCGCGAGTGTGGGGTGGTACTAGGTGTGGTCAGAGGACGCACTAGCAACTAGTCACTACCATAGACAGGCTTATGCCGTACTGACGGGCATAGTACCCATTGGCTTGAAAGTTGACGCCGGCTCGTTGGATCAATTTTAGTCGTCGACCGCAGCAGCCGGTGGATCCATGGCGACGTTGTCTTCATGGCTGTGGTGGGTCTGTCACTAGTCCAGAACTCTAGATCGGTCCGAACAATGGACGGAAATATCTTCTATGCGATAACGATTGGACTATTTTCAGGCATCAAAAACTAGGTTAGCCCCGACAAACATGAAACACATACGTAAGCCTTGCTGAAACACCAGGAGTCAATGCACCGGCCATGTGTTCCTGAAAGACTACCACCTGCTGAAGTTGCGAGATGCTGCCGGAATATACCAACAATTCGCTACAATTCTCAACTTCTCTTCGCCTGCCGTAGCTTTACAAATCAATTAATCGCTCTTCACTCCGTGCTTCAGTTCTTGACCTTTTTGAGAAGTCATGCGGTTTATTCACCGCGACATCACCGACAAACAGTAGTCTTTCCCAGGAACTCTATAAGGAGTAGAAAAAGTACTGAACAACACTTTCAACTCTTCCACATTGTCTAGGTCATACCACATCTCCAAAGCCGTTGCAACACTCGAGTTGGCGCAGTCGTATTTGGAAGACTCATCTGCCCTGTGGGGCAATCTGGTCCAGTGGGATTATCTTCCGGTCAATCCCCGTCGGCCTAGTATGAATCACGGCCAGCCAACTAAAGAGACCACGGGCATCAGGGAGAACGCCCTAGAGTAGGCGTAATCAACGATCAGTTAGCGCTGGGCCTGTTCTCGTCGACCAGGTTTGAACTGTACACGGCGCTCATGCTTCAATAGCCCAATTTTCGTCCGCAGACCTCGGTTGCCTTGCGCTTTTGCCACCGTCACATCGCAGGAGGAGAGAAATATACATTCCCATGCCACCCTTTTTGCTCAAGCAATAGGTAATCCGACCAGTAAGTAGGCCTATCAGCTACGACTTCCACCTCTGGCATATTCCGGGGAAACACGGTACCTGTACAGCACAGACGCTGCGATGCGCGTAATAAACGACACGACGGGCGGATCCACAGGGAGACACCCACATTCGATCCGTCCGCAGCCTAATATAGTCTGAGAATGTATTTCTGCCGGATGCTGGTCGATTCAGCGATCAAGTAATGGCACACGGGCTGGGCTATAGCAATAGAGGGGTGTATGCCGAGTTCGACGAGAATCGACTCCGGAATTTCGGGTTTGGGCGCGCATGGTGGTAAGCTATGCTGTAAATCTGTGCTCATCTCGATGCCATGTTCTGGGTGGTTTTACACAAGGCTCATGGCGAGTTTTAATTCTTTATTTCAGTTTGGTGTTGACGGAGATTGACCCCCGGGTTGACATAACCGCCGCCGGAAATATATAACCACTGTGGTTGACATTCAGCAAACTATGGAACAATCTACATCCAATCTTCTAGCCTTACCGGAAGATTGAAAACCATCATATAAGTGTATTAGTCTAAGAAAGATACAACAATAAAGGTTTGTGCATGTACAATGTCCAGGTTCATCTGTTTTGCAGCCCGACCATAAAAGTGGATCTTGCACGGTAAGCTCTACGAGAGCGCAGAGCGTTACATGTAGGATATCATTACATAGAGAGTTACAGATATCACCCACATGGGCCTATGGCGCAATTGGTAGCGCGTACGACTCCAGATCGTAAGGTTGCCTGATCGAGCCGGGCTGGGCTCATTTATTTTTTCCTTTTTCCTTGTTTTTTTTTGTTCGCCGCCCCCTTTTCCAGATCCCCATATCCATGTTGATTGGTCTAGACCGCGCGGCCGGCTCCCCTGTTGCCGTCGGACTCTAGTCCTCTTTCGGGCAATACTTACTACGCTGTGAGACCTTCGTGAAGCTGAATAAGCACTGGACTGTGCCTGGCTGTCTATCACTCTTCCCTTTGCATTTGACTTCCTTCTCAAAAGAGACATCAGAGCGTTGTCATTGTGGACCAGTTATACTCCCGGGAATAAGCATAACTTGCACAGCAGCAAACCCGAAACCAGTCTAACATGCTCCCGAGCACACCCAGCGGACGAAGCCTGTACCGACCCTGCAAAAATGTGAATGCGATGATCGCGAGCCACCAGAACTGTAGATAGTATGAGCCTTGAGTCGCAAAATCACAATCATGACCGCCCGTGCAGAGTCTGATAGTCATGAGCTCTTTAAGAAAAGGCTCCCAGCTGTGAGAAGTGGGGGTGTTTTGAGATGTGTATATTGTACAATACGTGGAAGCTTGGCGGATATGATGAAGTCCGAGGTAATGTGACCTGAGGCATCTCACATCAGTCTTACAGAGACCCTTCCTGCATGGTCATTTACCCAGGGAAATCCTCTACAATCGGCTCCGACAGGAACCCCCGTGCAAACCATTTTAATCTCTGACACAGGAAACAAATATGCTCGCCCAGATTCAAGTATGCCTGACCCGATGGGGAGTGCCATACCCCAGAGGTCCCTTCCACAGGAGCAGCAGTCAGTCGTACCTTCTGTATACATAGAGAACCCCAACTCACAACAAGACTGATCAACTTGAGTATCGCAAGACTTGATCTGTACTGTACAGATCCGAGTCTAAATCGTACCTACGTATTCTTATTGTTAGCCCTTCCATTTTACTTCATCCTCGAAAGAAAGAACGGAACGGAAACAGAAAACCACAATCATGACAGGCGGCCCAGCGGCGACTCAGCCCGCAGCTTCTGCGTCCCATTCACTTACAGGTCGGTGGGAAGATTCTTCTGTTGACCGTGATGCTCTCCGGGCCCACGAGTACTGCACTCAACTATGCCTGCTGGGCCTGCAGCGCCGTGATAGGCTGGACGAGAAGTGTCCCAACGTCGAACGGCACCGAGTCAACGGCGGCACCCACCATCCCACTACTGTGGAGGAGCTGGTGGAGCAGATCCAATTGGGACTGGACCACAACCTGGAGCGAGCGATGCCCATCGTTGGGCCCGGCTACGGACGCCCTGCCCGCCCTGGCGGCTCCGGCGCCCCTTTCAAGGTCGTCTCTCCTCGGTTCGGATACGCGGTGGTCGGAAAAGGAACCCTGTGTTGTATCTGGCCGCGCCTCGAATGGGAGGCGGATGTGTACACGCAAATTCTGGTGGCAGCACAGGGGTCCGCGGTGCCCGTGTTCCTGGGCAAGATCAACCTGCAGCAGCCATATGAGCTAGAAGGCTTCGGACGGGTTCGCCACATGCTCCTGATGGGCTATGGGGGTGAGGAGATTGGTATGGTGACGACCATGGATAAGTGGGACAAGTACAATCATCAAGCGAGGTCCGCTCACGAGATCGAGGACCTAGGGATTATGCACAAGGACCTGGCGCTTCGGAACGTGCTGTGGAATACGGAGCTGGGCCGGGCCATGATCATCGACTTCGAGGCGTGCGTACTCGTGCTGGACCGGATCGCCGAGCGGCCTGCGTGGGTGCTAGAGGAGCTGGCGAGTCGCCCGTCGCAACAAATGTCTTTGGGTAGGTTTTCAATCGAGTCTCGTGGGCACTGCAGATTCCACCAGGTGTGCTGCCATTATGACCCGGACGAGACTTGTCCCAATAGAAAGTATGGCTTACCACCATAAAACTTCGTCTATGGGCGATCTAATTTCTATTCAACCTGGGTTGATAGACTAGTTTAGCCAGATTCTGTTCTTCGTGTAATAGAATTCATGTTTGACAGCAGTGTGGAGGGGGAACTCTTCAAATGCTACACAGTAGTCTTTAAATACTATAGCAGGCGTCGTGGTGACGCGGCCCCGCAGTAATTGAAAATGCACTGGTCATTGGCTAGTAGGGGATGCTAAGCTCAATAGTGAACAGTGGTTAGCATGCTTGTCCTCCCCGCATCCCTAACAGTGGTGCTCGGATAAATCGGGTCAGCATGAGTCCCACCAGTTAGTGCAATAATTAGCGCATACATCTCATCTCCTCAGCTTTGCAAGACATATCATCTTCTTGTGACAGATATTGTCCGTTATTATAGATAAATAACGCATACTGGAGGTCTACGTGTTTGCTGGTTTGCTCCTCCCTTAGACCTTCTGTGGCTCAGGCCTACCTACATGTTGCCCCGAGCTAGTGGGGTCTGGGTGGTGGTTATTAATAGGCGAACTGTGATAAGATAATTTAAATGCCTCACATATCATCCATTTTCCACTGGATCCAAGAGAAAGTCTATCCTAGAGTTCTCTTCAGGTACCTATCGGGAGATGATGAGGCAATTACATGAGCAATACTGCGAGACGTCATGATCGAGCTCAGTCTCCTGTAAGTAAGCCCTACGATGAAGTTCCAAGGTCAGCTTGTCGAGCACAGACAACATTAATTCACTCAGCCTGTCAAATGCTACGATATGGCATCGAATTGAAGAGCCAGCGCCTCGTACTTATCAGGTATAAATCCATGATGGCATGCTGCTGGATTCGGATCAGATTCCATTCCTAAACTCGAATTCTTTTCACCCTCATCTCCAGAAGGTCGCCAACATGATCCGAATTATCCTAGCCTCCATCTCCTTCTTCCTCAGTCTCGGACAGACAGCAATTTTTCCTCTGCCTTCGAGCACCGGACCATGCGACGTCACGCTTTAGGCAAGTGAACTAGTCGATGTGTCGCGAACCGATCCTCTTGACCCCCAAGGAGGAAAACGTGCTCTCATGATCACCACCTTTACCCCGGCAAACTGCGGAAGTGTACTTTCCACATCATACATACCGAATGCCACAGCCAGGTATGAAGATGAGAGTTTCCAGTCGTTCGGAATACCCTCAGGAACGTTCGAGTCGTTTCGGATCCAAACCCAAACCCAGCAGCAGCCACCGCTTTCCAGTCTTCAGGGAAATTATCCAGTCGTGCTCTTCTCACCAGCTTTGGGGAACTCACGGTTGACATACACATTGCTGCTCCAGGACCTTGCCAGCTACGGATTTGCCGTCATCTCCGTCGATCATCCGTACGATGCCAACATCGTGGAATACCCCGATAGCCGCACAGTGGTCGGAATCCTCGGAAACGTCGCTACAGATGCACAATACATCTCAGCAATGAACGTTCGCGTTCAAGACATGAGATTCGTTCTGGATCAGACTCACAACAGCACGGCGCTCGGAGATATATTTTCGTCAGTTCGGGGAAATTCCCAGCTACTCTCTCTCGATCGAGTTACAATCTTCGGCCATTCCCTGGGCGGAGCCACCGCTGCGCAGACTATACTGGCCGACTCTCGATTTGTCGGGGGCGTCAATATGGATGGTTCATTGTGGGGATCTGTCGTGGACGAAGGACTGTCGCGCCCGTTCCTGATGTTCGGGAATGCGAACCACACCCAGGCAACCGACGCCAGCTGGGCAGCGGTTTGGCCGCATCTGCGAGGATGGAAACTCGAACTCAAACTCGCACAGTCGAAGCACTATACGTTCTCGGACTTTCCAGTGCTTGTCGATGCTCTGAATATCTCGGACGACGCCAAGCAGATTGTCCAGGCCGGGTATATTGGGACTATAGGCGGGCTGCGGGCCAGGAACGTGATAGTTGCGTACATCCCCGTCGCACTGCAGTACTTCGTCTATGGGCGAACGTCAGACCTACTGAGCGGACCCTCAGCAGCTTTTCCTGACGTGACTTTTGTGTCTTCTTGACCTGGGGGGTAGTTTCTTGAACGATCTGGCTGGCGGGAGAGGTGAGTTGCCAGCTAGCCCTATGCTGTCGCTGTGGTTGAGCATGATTAGGCAAGATCGGGCTGCATTAGGTCGGGAGGGGTTCCGATTCCATCAATGAGCACCCCGGCGTGTGCGTAAGGCACTCCTTTCCGCAGCGGTCTTTTCGACCAAAGCCAGTGGTCGTCCCTGACAGTGGGAAAAGATAAGTCAAAGGAGCCCTATACCACAGCAGTTTCGAGCAACATAATTGATTCTGCTAAATTACCTAGCACATACGACCACAGGGTGTGGAAAACAGGGCTTCCCGTCCGCTCAGCCGTAGTTAAGCCACACGCCGGGAGGTTAGTAGTTGGGTGGGTGACCACCAGCGAATCCCTTCTGTTGTATGTTTTTTGCCTCCTTTGACTCGAGAGTCTCTAGGTCGCACGCATAACCCAAGAAATGTGGTTTCTTTTTTACGATCCGTTCGAGTGGCCATATCGATTGCACTGTACTCTACCCCTCAATCTGATCATTCTCCATGTAGGAACAACAATTGATCGCGCGATATATGTACAGTTCATTTTATCCTCCGTGCAGTGCATCTACGATCGATCCTGGTAATGTCCAAGATGTGATGGACCTGTTAGAGAGTCAGAGACTGACAGGGCGGGTGGCGCATGGCAGGTCCCTTCCGAGGTTTCGGCCCGCATCAACGGCAAAACTCCCCACTATCGGACCCAAGTGACTATACTGTCAGCGACCTCAATCTTGTATCTCAGCCTTCAAAGTAACTACGGTGTAACAGCGCAAGGGAAATCGAAGCCCCACTGCTTGTTCTGTACTGAGTGGCTTGTAGTATTTTCACGGATCAATATTGTAATTGGTTTGAATCCTTGTTTACTCCACAATTGGAGCGACCGTCTGAGATAAGTACTTATAGTGTGTGCAACTGCCACCGACCCCCCACCTGCAGGTGCATATTAGAATCTAGTACCCGAATAACCTCTTACCTCTTACCGGCACCCAATGAGCACAGTACTACCCAGGCCCAGGTATGTCCATGTATTGATATCCTGATAGGGTACAACACCTTCATAGACGGGCGTGGTCCTTTTTTGGCCTACGGGCAAGTAACACAGCCAATGTAACCTGGCAGGCAGCTAATTGTGGTTGCGTGATGTCTTAGTATGACATGCAGCTGAGACCCAGCCTAGATTACAAATCTGCAGAGGTTCAGTGAAATGTTGTGAGATTAGATAAGTAACAAAAACCATGAAAAATGGCACTAACTTAACCGAGACTAAGTTGCTTCTTTAGCCATCCGGACTTTTCAGCCTCTTTCTTGTCAGCCTCTTTCTTCTCAGCAACAACACCCACCATAACAGAATCGCAACCTGTTTTCCAAGTCAGAATCCCCTTCACTATGTCTTCAGCGAACCTCCCGGTGATCGTTATCGTTCCAGGTGCCTACGGCACCCCCGAAGGGTTCGAGAAATTGCAACCGTATCTGAGCCAAGCCGGATACGCAACACACGCCGGATCATACCCCAGCTGCAATCCCTCTGATCCGGCCAACGTGTCCTCCGCTCAGGATGTTGCTTTCTTGCGCGACAACGTCTTACTCCCTCTTTTGGACGAACAAGGTAAAGATGTCGTCATCATCGCGCACTCATACGGGGGTGTAGTTGCCGGCGGCGCAGCAAAAGGACTTGCAAAGGGGACGAGAGGAGCCCAAGGTCAAGCAGCTGGCGTCATCGGCCTTATCTACGTGGTGGGCAATATCACACTTGAGGGAGAGTCGCTCTTGACTGCGGTAGGCGGCGCTTACCCTCCTTTTATCAAAGCCGACAAGGTACGTAAGATCTACCCAGAACAACCGCGATCATAACCATAGGCTATTATATTAATACTGTTTGCCATGACCATTTGCTCTCAGCCTTCCCAGGGACTTTCTGTCATCGAACCAGCAATGGATATTTTGTACAATGACTGCGAGCGTGCCCTGGAGCCGGAATTGGCGAAGTTCATGCAGCCACACGCACTCCGAGCCTTTGAGACCCCCGCCACTGCCCCAGCCTGGGCGGAGAGTGCGTTTGATGGGAGGAGAGCGTATGTGCGTGCGCTAGACGACTGCTGTAACCCTGTATCGTTGCAGGATCTGTGGCTGGAGAAGTCCAAGGTCAAGTGGGAAGTGGTGGACTTTAAGACCGGACACATGCCATTTGTGAGCCAGCCTCAGGCTTTGGCGGAGCAGATCGTCAAGTTCATTGATGGGTTTATTGCAAAGTAAATAGTGATGAATTCCGTGCCCACAGCGTGGTGCAGAAACCCAAATACACATCGGTCAAGTTGTTGTGCTCGACAAACTATTGCTACCAACTGACACATTTTCATTGAAAAACGAACGTGGTCAACTTGAAAAGCCTTTTGATAGGAATTAACCCAAGAGAAGTGACTTTTATGCGATCCGCCGAAATGGATGTGCTAATCTCCACCGAATGTCTCCTACGGTCTGTAGCTGTCATTAGTACCTATCCAATCATAGGATTCGACATGCTAATATATCCTCACTTGCCTAGTAGAGAGCCGTGCTTCAACGTTGGTACTTTGTTCAGACCGCACGCGCAATCAGCCATTCATATTCTGGGTGCCTCAGGTATCTATGAGCGGATGCCTAACAGGCCACCAAGGCGCCCTTCATCCGCACGGTGCCTGGTGATCGCTGCCACATTTATGCGGCTGTATGTTTCTTCCTCCCTCTTCTGCCTTTTTCCTTTTTCAACCCCAGTGGACGCTCGTTGGTGCAAAGGACACTGGATTGCCTTTGCCTCCACCCTTCGCGCAACAGACACTGGAAGAGTCGTAAACGACCGCAGTGAGAATGCTTGGTGAGGCTCCCAGATCTAGTGCAACACCATTCCGTCGCGGTAGCTTCATGGATATACGTGTGACGAGCCAGGTTTTCAGGAACCCTGTACACTATAAGTGCAACGGTACCTTTTTCCGAGAAGAAGAACCCCACCCTCTGGGGTATTCCCTGATATAGAAGTGTATCCTCTATCACGGACTGGGCTTTCGGGGCCTCGGACATTCGGGATCCTGGCAATGGGGGTGAGGAAAGTGAGTCTGGGCGGTCAATACTTGGGATATGACGTCATAGGACACTGGGCCAGTGTCAATGATACTATCACCAGGACATGGCGCCGGTAGGGGAATAGGCACAAGAAATTGTGGAAAAAAAAGGGAGCGTCTGACTAACTGGATATCTGGCAGGCAGATGTCTTGAGGTCGTATCGTTCGACCACGAAAAGAGACAGAATAGCTCAGGAATGGGGACTCTCGGTACGACGGACCACATGAAATCGTCAATACTGCTACCCTAGCTCCAGTAGATATAGTTGCATACGAGGACAAGGCGAAGGGTGCGGGACTTGGTCGCCGATCTCTCGGGATCGGCATTTCGGAGTCTCGGAACACCTCCCGATCGATCCATGACCGGGCTGTCGGGAGGAGACAATTAACCCTCTGGCATTCCTAGACGTGGACCATGGCAGCATGATACCCAGAGGATTGCCGGTTGATATGCCGCTGTGGGGTTGCAGGTGCCAACCTCTTGAGTATATAAAAACCTTCGATCTCTGACCGTCAAGGCATACCAGCAAACCTTTCACACACAGCCAAAGAGCCCTGCCAACGAAATAGATCAGCAAAGATGTTCTATCAACCCGGAGTCACCGAGCATGGACTACCGCATGACCCCTTCAAGGTCTGAATACGCTCACAAACTCAGTCAGTCCACCTCACAGCCACTAACCCGAAGAGAAATCCAGGCCTGCGTTGTTCCCCGCCCGATCGGCTGGATCTCCACCAAGAACAAGAAAGGCCAGTGCAACCTGGCGCCGTACTCGCAGTTCAACAACCTGACCTTCGACCCGCCCTACGTGATGTTCTCCTCCAACCAGACGGCCCAGGGGATACGGAAGGACACGGTCATCAACGCCGAGGAGACGGGCACCTTCGTGTGGAACCTTGCCACCTGGGACCTGCGCGAAGCCGTCAACATCACCGCGGAGCAGACCCCCTACGGCACCGACGAGTTCGAGCTCTGCAAAATCACCAAGGAGCAGGCCACGTTGGTGGATGTCCCCATGATCAAGGAGTCCCCCGTCAAGTTTGAGTGCGAGTACCACACTACCGTCCGCCTGCCGGGCAACCCGCCCATGGGCACCGTCGACATCGTCATTGGGAAGGTGATCGGCGTGCACATCGCGGACCGCGTGCTCACCGACGGCCTGCTCGACATCAAGAAGACGCAGCCCATCGCGCGCTGCGGCTACTACCAGTACACCGTGGTGAAGGATACCTTCGAAATGATCATCCCCAACATGTCGGCCGACGTGCTGTATGGGTTAGAGGGGAATGCGGCGAGGAATCGCAGCAAGAATGAGGCAAATAAGGCGGAAGCAGGTCAGGTGTTTGAATTTCCGGAGAAGGATTCCTGAGTGGGTGAAGGATTTGAATGAGCGATGGATCTGATTGCGTCAGGGTGTCTGAGCCGAACTTTCAATACGGGTGAGATAGCAGACTTACCGTTACACTCTCTGCCGTGCTGAGTGTTTTTATATAACCATATCAAGAATATAACAATCTACTGAGATAAGAAAAAAAGGGGGCTTTTGTTTCCCTCTTGTTTTTCACCCAAATTCCTCGGGGTTACAACGATCCACCTCTTTGTCTCACGAGTCGATAAAATAAACATACAAGTTTCAAGAAAAATAATTTCTCTTATGTTCATCTTGTGCGAGTTATGTCCGTTTATTCTTCGCTTTACCTACTGGAGATAATTTTAGCTACGTCGGCCTGCCTGCCACTTTCCCGCCATCCATGATGAGATTCATGTCTATTCATTCATTTGCCATCTTAGCATTCTTCCCTATCTCTTTCTACTCTTATTTGAGAGTTGATTTATCTACCTAGTATCGTTTGCTACCTGTATATGTTCAGTATGGAGGCACCGACCATCGGACCAAACCCGATCGAGCCCGAGTGAAGTGGAACACCCCCCACTGATTTTGCTCCATACACTGCATAGTGGATCATCACAAACTCCTGTATAGTTGCTGTATTAAAGAGATTGTTCAACACTGAAATCTGGAAATCTGGAGGATTAAGCATCAACCAAGAAGAGAAGGATAAAAGAGAAAAGAGGTATTTTGGGGATGTGGAAATCGTACGCGTACGGTGCTCAGTAGGTATGAAACTCAGAGCTACAGTCTTCAGCTTGTCTTCTGACTCTCAGGCTCCCAAACCATGGAGTTCTGCTCGATTCGTGTGGAGAACAAAAAGCGGCAGTGCTGCGGATGCCATGTCAACTTCTTGCCAAAGGGAAGCTTTCACGAAAGTGACCATAACAAGCCTCGAAAATGGGCCGATTGCAGACAAGGTACATACTCAATTTTTAAGTTCCGAATTGGTGTTTTTGGGGGCCGTGAGGGCAGTAAGGCAGTTCTGGGACATATTGCTGTACACTTTCTGAAGCGCAGACATTTTGTGACATTTGTCTGATTGATACTTGACCGACAGGCTTAGTCTGTGTACAGTACAGTTTACTAAGAAGATAATTTATGCTTCAATGTGGATTGCTACCCGTGCCTACAAAAGAGTCATGGAGAAAAGCAAGCAGAGCCTGTGACTTCGCTTCGAAGTGCAGGCAAGAAAAATCAAGGTAGTGAACTTGTGCAAAATGCGGTGAAGCAAATCATGCGATAAATCAAGAAAACCACTTCAAAGACACAGACAATCACGTATTCAGGTGCAATCCATACTCAAATTCGAGTCATCTTGCGTTAGCCAGGCCTTCCCCTGCTGATTTCAGATCCATTCTTTCCGGAAGGGAGGATATACCTCGACCAAAGGGAGAGCGTTGAAGCTAGTTCTCATTGTCAGCGGCTTCCCCATCGCGTTTCTCGGCGCCCTGATAGGCAGTGTAGTAGAAGCGCTTTTCAACAGTCTCGTCCTCCGCCTCGCGCTTCTCGGGGGCCGTGTAGGAAGTGTAGTAGAAACGCTTGTCGAGGGCCTCGTCCTCCGCCTCGCGCTTCTCGGCGCCCTGATAGGCAGTGTAGTAGAAACGCTTGTCGAGGGCCTCGTCCTCCGCCTCGCGCTTCTCCGGGGCAGTGTAGTGAACGTAGTAGAAGCGCTTGTCAACTGCCTCCTCATCACGCTTCTCTGGGGCAACATAGTGGGTGTAATAGAAACGCTTGTCGAGGGCCTCTTCGTCACGCTTCTCCGGGGCAGTGTAGTGAACGTAGTAGAAGCGCTTGTCGAGTGCCTCCTCGTCACGCTTCTCCGGAGCAACATAGTGGGTGTAATAAAACCGCTTGTCAACTGCCTCCTCATCACGCTTCTCTGGGGCAACATAGTGGGTGTAATAGAACCGCTTGTCGAGTGCCTCCTCGTCACGCTTCTCCGGGGCCACGTAGTGAGTATAGTAGAATCTCTTGTCTAGATCCTGAGAGGACGACTCAAGCTGGTCAAGGTTGCTGGAGACAGGAAGAGCGAAGGTGAACCCTGTGGCTCCCAGGAGCGCAAGAAGGCAAGAGAGGTGCATCTTGACAAGCAAAGTAGTCCAAAATATTCAGAGGAAGTGTGGTGGGGGTCAGGTGTGGAAAGATGGGAACAAACCGCCGATGTAGACAGGAAGTCCTTTATAGAATCTTGGATGGGGGTTTCTGGTGGTTTGCCTGTTTCCGCGGCACTGAAAGCACCCCGACTAGCATAGTCCCCGCTGGCCCAGGTCTCGGGGGGTTTCTGCTGCCCTGTAGCGGGCTGTATGTCAGAATTACCGAATGAAGAACTTCTGTCATCACATTGCAGACGAGTTTGTTCCTCAGAAGCAGTATCGATGAACCTTGCTGATCTCGACGCCATGCATGATGCTACATCTTGGCATTGCCATTGGAGAGTGGTATGTTGCTGAGCTATTACTTCATTGGGATTTCATGCGGTCGATTTAGAACCAGGCGTACCGGTACTGATTGTGAGCTATTAAAATTCCCATGTGCAACAGTAGAAGCCACTATTGTTGTGCAACCAGAGTAATAAGCTCAGCTCCGAACCCACGTCTCTGCTAGTGGTACGGCATGACCAGAACCCTTACTCAGGCCCATCATTGCCGAAAGAAGTAGTTCGAATGGACATCCATGCAGCAGCGTGTGAAGGTGTTGTGAACCGCAAGTCTTTGTCCCATCATCATTGCCAATTTGACTGCAGGGGAGCTGAACATCAGCATGTGACCCTGTAATACTCCAGGTCTGGGCCGTCCCGGCTCAAGTATGATAAGTCACATATGACCTCACTGTGTTTATTGCATGCACTAAGTCTGTGATCGTCGCTTCAGCCCCGCCATTGCGGCTGACGATGCACGAGACCCGCTGTCGATCACTTCTGGGGCTGCATGATGCCATATCCCTGCTCTCATGTCTGACGCCCTTACTAGGTACTCCGGATTACTGTCATAGGCACTGGAAGTATTTTCTCCTATCCTGAAAGCGATTTCTGCCCACCTAGTTCTCATCTTCAGCATCTTATGGTAGAACCGAGTTTCTAGAGTATCACTCGCATCCACAATGGTGTTCTCTAAACTTCTCAGAACCTTTCGTCGAGATTTCAAGTTCCAAGCCCTACAGACCGAGAGTCGCGATAGCGATGAAGAGAATATCGAGTCAGAGGAGCTGCTTACCAAGAGGAGCCCGTCGCAAAACCCCTCAAGAGCCTGGATACACTTGACAATCGCAAATGCACTTCTCCTGAGCATTACCATAAGTCTAGTCCTCAGCGCTAAAGGCAGCTTTTCGAGTGAAGAGAAAAATGCGATTCTAAGGCCAGTGTCATGGTGGTGTGAGTCTCCATACTCCATTCGAAATGCTTCCCCGGGCCTAAACCAGCGGACTAAACAACTAAAGCACCCATCCTGGATGACATTGAGATTCCAAGGTACCAAACCACGCTGAATGGAACGCTCTTCGCTCTTCCAGAAATATCCATTGCCCGCGAAGAGCCCAGCGCTGCCAACGATGCCGCTTGGGCGCGATTCGAAGACGTCCTGACTCATGTTGTCACTCGCGAGCAAATTCTCAAGCTCGGTAAAAACCCCGACACCGTTGCGCGCTTTGATAATGATTATTGGGGGATGGGCGATGATGCCTACATGGTTCAGCTGGACGTGATGCATGTAAGAATACCCGTTGTCTTCGTTTCTCTGGTCCTTCAGCCGTACAAAGCAAAAGTCCTAACCCCATGGAACCATAGCAAATCCATTGCCTGAACATGCTGCGTAAAGCCGCTTTCGCCGACTACCCCGGCTACGAACCCGAGCTGGATGTCAAAGATAAGATGTGGTGGATTCATCTGGGCCACTGCACCGACATCCTGCTACAGAATCTTCAGTGCAATGCCAACACGGAGGTCTTGACATTGGACTGGGTCGAAGATCGTCACGCTCCATGGCCCGACTTCAGTGTGAACCGCAAATGTCGCGACTTCAATGCTCTCTTGGACTGGCAGCACGACAATGCGGTCGACACCGCCAAATTCGATGCCATGCCCTTACCGAAGGATGCATTCGTGTGGCCAGCCCCGTGGAAAAAGCAAGACTATGAACTCGGCATAAAGTTAGGCGACCATCATCTGCAAGAAGGGGAACCTCTTAGGGCCCCACATGAGCATCATGCTCATCAACCCAATGTGACTTCCGAGGGCGGGTGATCTTGAATATGGCCGCAAGGGTCTTGGTTTAGATGGAGTATTCTAAATCGGTCTACGAAAAGATGTATGGGAGCATCGACAGGGAACACTAGTAGTTTGTTTAATGGCACACACATACACGCACACTCCCTCTCTTTCTCCACCGCTTGTGACAGGTTGGATAATCTCATGCGTAGGGCTACTTAGGATTCAGAGTAACCTCAAGATAGGGCTATGACGTGATGTTTGTGCATATGCCGAGATATTTTCTCGACTCGGCCTGGGTATTTCAGCTCAAGTTCATGATACCCACCAATCATAATCTGGACAGAAGTGGTCAGGCGGTCGAAGCCACCTTGGAAGCAGCTGTACGAGGGCGGAGACAAGCGGCCATCCTGCACATGCGCAATCTTTACCATTCCTAGTCAGCGGAAAAAACAAAACATCCCTATTCCCAAAGTGGGGACGGATACATCCGAAAATCGATTGACTCTGATTGGTATATTTATTACTATCCAATCGGGATTTGTATTCTGTCTCAGATCATACCTTAGATCCGAATGTAAGATGTAACAACTTGGGTAGGTATGTAGTTAAGGGCACTAGGTAGTTATCTACGGAGTACTGCGTCTCTGTACTCCGAGTGGATATTCGCCAGTTACAACAAGTCAGATAATGCCCCGCTGCTTTGCAGGTGGCTGGCTGGAAAGGTGCTCATATTCCAAATCGGGAAATGATCAGTCTTACTACCGTCGGTGAAGGGACTTAGTGAGACAAACTGCATTTACAGGATCACCGCTAACTTTCTTATTCACTGATCATTCGCCTACGACATAGGTGCACTAGTCTCAACCCCGCTGTTCATTTGCAATAGATGCAGGGACTGTCATACGGTCGGAAGCAGCGTCCCAATTGAATAATGTGCGCTGCACTACACGTAGGTGGTGTGTTATTCAAGCATACCGTGGTAGAGCTGTCACATTCCTCACGCACTGAGTGAGTGTCTGTGCAGAAATATTCACCGCCATTAGTCCCTTCCCGAATGCTAGTAGAGAGAGAGAAACTATTATCCTGCTTGTGCAGAGAACCCCCCCGTATCAGCCTTCCATTCCAGCAACCGAGCCATCCTAAGGGCCTTTTTTGCGTTCCACTTCTACCTCGGCTCTCTGCCCGCTCCTCACAATGACTTTTCCTGACGTGTCTTTGGAGTCAGGCAATAGTCCCCACGGCGAGGATGAACCGTTCCTCCCTAGAGGGCAACCTGACCCCCAGGCTGCCTCTAGCGGGCCCCCAGAGCCAAAGCTGTCACCACGTACCCGTCTGCGCCTGGTCATCACAGTGATCGCGATTCTGTTGAGCTTCCAAGTCGGCGGCCAGATGATCGGGGGTCCAATGGTGCGGGTGATCGAGATGATTGCCTGCGATAACTATTGGCGTCGACACGACCCAGCTCGACTGCCCGCCTCCGGCCATCTGCCCGAGCACCTGTGCAAGATAGCAGAAGTGCAGACCGAAGTCGCTACGGTGAAAGGATACTCCGACCTGCTCGAGGGACTACTGTGTTTGTCAAACTCCAAACCTTAAAAGAAACATGCGTTAGTGCTGACCTTTCATGCAGGCGCCATTTGCGCCATTCCCTACGGACTGCTGGCGGATCGGTATGGTCGCCGACAAGCTATCCGCCTCACTATTCCAGGGTTTCTGCTCAATGCGATCATCACGAACACCGTTCTATGGTTTTCGGGCACTTTCCCCCTCCGTGCGATCTGGCTCGCCGCACTCAGCTGGATCATCGGAGGAGGACCAGCCGTGGCTCTCGTCGTGATTTGGGCCATGCTGGCTGATCTGGCCACCGATGCGCAACGTGCAGCGCTGTTCCTCCGGGTCGGACTTGCCAGTCAAGTGGCAAGTTTCCTGGCCAGCCTGATCAGCTCGGGACTCATGGCTCTCAACCCATGGATCCCGCTGCTAATTGGGTGTGGTACGGTGATGATAGGCCTTGGCTGTGCGCTGTCACTTCCCGAGACCATGAATATGCCCCAGAGAAGCAAAGAGCCAGCAGCACCAAGCCCAGACGAGCCAGCATCGACATGTGATACATCTTCGAAGCCAGTGCTGACACCCTTTTCACTGCCGAAGAGGCTGGCACGTCTCATCTATCCTTACCTGTTCGTCTTCAACCAGCAATCACTCTTGCTCTTATTCTCCTTTGCAACAGTTGAGCTCGTTCAGCGATCCTTCCCATTCCTGACCCAGCACATTTCAAGACGCTTCGCCTGGACTTTGGCGCAAGCGAACTTGATCGTTGCCTTGCATGCGGGGATCACCATCCTCGTCTTCCTGTTCCTCCTCCCGTACCTCTCCCAAAAGGTTTTGCACTATTTAGCCCTCCCCCAACGAGACCTGCAGGTCTCGCGTGTCAGTCTTATAGCTCTGCTCCTGGGGTCGCTCGGAATTGCTCTCTCGCCATCAGTCTTCTTTCTGATTCCCAGTGTAAGTGTTTATGCGGCGGGAGCGGGCTTTGCCCTAACCATGCGGTCGCTGGCTACCGCGTTGGTCAAACGCGAGGAGACCGCGCGACTGTATTCCGCAATCGAGATCTTGCAGTACGTGGGCAATATTCTAGGTAGCCTGTGCTTTACGAATGCGTTCAAGCTGGGATTGCAGCTTGGCGGACTGGGGTCTGGATGGGTGTGGGTGCTGGGTAGTCTGCTCTATGGGTTAGTGGGAATTGCATTGACATTTGTACGGTTATAGACCTGCATACACCTTGCGGCACCAAAGGACCGGTTCTTTATGACCGGGTGCCTGGCCGGCCTCGGCCACCGAGTGTATTTAGCCTCACATAGCCTTCAAATCTTTCATTTCTTCATACTAGCTATTAGGTTATAAGCCCTTTGTTCAATTAGTTTATTTTATCTTTGAATAGTACGGTAGTCATAATCTATAAAATATGGCATAGTCAGGCATTGCACTAATCCCTTCAAAACCTTTGGTCGCATCTAGAAAAATCAGACGAACTGTCCTACTGTGCCTGGTCCCTGGGAGATTTGCCATGTGGTCTCAGCATCTGATTAGCTCCCTTCCATTTTCAACATTACGGATAATCCGAGAAGCACTGGGTTGAAGTGACTTTTGTTGTTTGCACAAGATTGAGTATCGCTGCTGTCCTCATAACAATACCTACACGGCAGGTAAGTGCGTGGAGTGCACCGGCGGGAAGAGGCGCGTCGGAAACGACTGTCGCTGCCCGGAGGGCATGGCATGATCGAGGGCACCCAGGGCACCCAGGGCGACTGCCAGCCGCCGCAGACCTGCCCCCCCGGGCAAACACCCCGTAGCGGGAAAATGCGCGTGTCCCGCCGGAATGGCGGAAGGAGACAAGGGGAACTGCGAACCTCCGGTGGAGTGCCCGTCGGGAGTCGATCTACTGTGTAGGTAGGTTCTCTTCTTCCCGCAATGCCAGAGCAGAGAGAGAAGACGAAAAGGCACAGTTCTGGGCTCTGGTTCGGCAATTGCTACCTGCTGTCCCGTCAGGATGGGCAGTACTTGTGTCTCGGAGACACCGGCGAATACTCTTTTGCGCTACCCGACGGCCGTCGTCTCATGGGTCGCTTCCAGGTCTGCACAGATGAAAGCTGTAGTTCTTCCAGCAATTCCGTCAAACCCGACGACCCAATTTATCTGCGGGACACCTTCAACGCAGGCGTCTGGTTTGGACGGGTCATCTGACGGACGACACATCTCCAAGGCCACAGATTTCCAGAATGCTGGCAAGTTCAGCCTGAGCAGATGGGCGCTAGGTCTCTACTGTCTGGGCGGATCCGGAAAAGGTATCGGAGCGGCCTGCTCCAGGGACACGCCAGGCATCACGTTCCTCCCCGGCAGTCCGCAGACCAGACCTGTTTCCCCGTGATTCTCACTGAGGTCTCTTGCGATACGAAGAGTCATTACCATAATTGTGGGTGGTCGGCGGGATCTCTGAGAGCTGGGAAAGTGGCTGCAGATGAATTGTAGTGGTGTTGTCAGTTCAAGGCATGTCAGACGTACCGGTAACCTCCGTCTGTCTGCTTTGAGTATGGAAAGCCCAGAACCATATCGCGATGCGGATTATGGTCAATGATGTCCTAGGAATTGACTGTTTTCCTTATCCTGTCCATGCTCTCTTCCTCAGTTCTCCTCTCCTCTACTTGTAACACACTCTCAGAGTTTTCTATTTCACATTCTCTCTCTGTTTACTGGCATACTCGTGATTTCTGGTGGTTACTGGTTGACAGCTGCTGTCATCGAACTTAATATGAGCTTTACCGGATCCTTGGGTCAACAAAGAAAACTTTACTATAAATGAGAAGAAAAGTAAGGAAAAAAAAAAAGAGAGAGACATTGAGATCAGGATGCGGTCCCAGCCATTCGATAGAAATGGCTTCGGACATCCGGGGGTTGGCTCCCAGTAGAGGGAGGAATGTATGTGCCGCCTTCCTTAATTGACCTGTTTGGAACGACACCAGATACTCTTTTCATTCAACCGTCGATGTGCAATGTCACTTCTTCAAATGGAGCGTCTGGACCCTACACGCTATTTCAAGTGGGGATTGGGAATGTTCGGACACGGAACCCTTATGCGTGGGGCATTTTCTTCTCTGCATTCCTATACCAGGCTTGTCCTAACATCGCGGGACTTAAGCTACATCCCCCGCATCTATTGCTGGTGGACACGTACCGTGGCCTGTACTGCCAACACATTTGGAGCAATCAGGTTTTAAATAGGAATGTGACACAATGATGCAGTCTCCAAGCCCCTTGCTTGCTTGCGTGGAGTTAGTCCCTCACAGATACTCATCTGCGTGACTACCGTAGCAGACCTCGAAACTGTCCTGAAAGGACAATCGATCCGACCAGCACACGCCCTGAACGGTGGGACCTTTTTGGTCTTGCAAGACATCGCGGTCCTGCAGATAGAACCGGTTGCTGAAGTCGCGGAACGTAAAGGTCTGGTCGTCGCCTTTGGAGACGATCAGCCCATTGTCCTGGTCGTCGAGCCCCACGCGCAGCAACTTGCCCTTGGTGTTGGACCACAAGATGGCGACATGGTCGGAGTGAATAAGGGGCACGCGCTCCTTGGGCTTGGGGGTCCAGGGCTTGCCTCCGGCGTCGGTGATGGCGACGGTGAAGCGCGACCGCTTCGTGTCGGAAAGGTAGATCATGCTGCCGTCGCAGTACCAGTAACTAGTGGGGTAGCCCCGGCGCCGCACGAAGAAGCTGTAGCCGGACAGGACATCGAAATCCTCCTCGTCGCGCTCCAGTTCCGGTAGTATCCGCGACATGCCGCTTGCGTAGGCCCCCATCCAGTAACAGAGCACCTTGCCACTAATGGGAGCAAAGACGTCGGACTTGTCGCCAATGCCGGTCGTGAAGGCTCCTGCCGCGCCCAGCGCAGAGATTGCTTCGGGGTTCCCTTCACCAACATCTACCGACCAGAACCGGGGCGATAGCCGCTTGACATTCTGCGGCGTGAACTTGACGGCGCCGTAGCTCGGTCCGGGGGGGACCGTCAGCGTGGTGCCTTGTTTATCGTAGAGGATTCGGAACAAGTTGTCGGCGGTGTTGCGGTCTGCGGAGATGAACAACCACACATAGTACGGGGTAGTGCCCCCGGCGTTGTAGTGGCCGGCGGCAATGTAATGTGCGTAGACCATCTTAGCGATACTGGATTTGTTGACTTTTACCTGGGGTAGTGAATCTGATCCGAAAAGAGCAAAGAGTTTGTGGGGTTTGGTTCGGAGATGCACCCAAAAGAGGCACGGACGCATGCCTGCACACAGCAAGAGTGGTTCAATAAATAAAGTACGCATAGTCCACTGGCTCTCGACTGAAGAGATGTGGGCGTCACGACTATGGCCTCGCCCAGCTTGAGGTCATCTCATCGCTGCATTCAATCTGGGTGAAGACTAGTGATGTCCCACTCGCGGTCTAGATTGTCTTCCCTCCGCAAGCGGATGCTTTTGCTGGTACGCTGGAAGCCCACAATCGTGCGTCTTATACCATCATAGAGTATCAAGGATTATAGCATAGGCTATTGCAGTCCCGGTGCCGCACCAAAATGTAACCCCACAGCCACGAAAATTTTGTCATATGACAGGAGGATGAGGTGATAGCGATGACAGGCCGACATGGCAATTAACCGACGAGGACCATGACATTCCTGGCAAGAGACATTCCCAACGCTTCCATTTTAGATAACCCCTCCTCTGACTTGGTTCCTCTCCCTTAGTTGCACTGCCAGCATGCGGCCCATCCACCTGCTTCCGCTATTCTTGTTCAATTACACGCAACTGATGGTCGCGGCCCAGTCTTGCCCCGGAACCCTGCGCTGCTGTCGAAACTTCTACGCTGCCGACAATCTCTCCTCGCCAATTCTCAACCTCCTCGACACTTACGGGGCTGGTACGCCCGTTGGCGCAGGAGTGGGTACGCTGTTTGAGTTCTTCCTTCACCTCATCCCCCACCGTCTGCCTCCCTCGCTGCAGCCTTCCAGCTTGAACCCAATACCTTTCACTCCTGAGAGTCTCCAAGGATTGGTGGCTAATATCACCAAGGCGTTAATTATCCTGGCAACGAGACCTGCGAGCAGAGTTTGGACCGCTGCCTTCAGTCTGCCTGTTGTGCAGCCCACCAGAATCGAGCATTGCAGGTATGTCCAAGCCCCTAAGTCCAATGTTCTTGTGTCCAGCTGCTGGCCCGGACTGATGTAGCACTTGGTAAGGAGAGAGGTATTTCGCTAGACTGCGCTTTGGTGCAGTAGATGGGTGGTGTGTTAGGTCCCCATCGGCTTTTTCGCCACCGGAGTTAGACTGGAACATCGTGTTACTTCGATTGAAGAGTGCTTTATATTAGGCAAAGGACTTACGTTTATCCTATGGAGTTCAATGAGAACTGTTAGCCATGCGTTCCAGAGATCCATATTGAGGGAACACCAAAGGCGTGGCAACAACATCATCTACCCGAGATGAGCCGATGGTACATTTTTTGAAAAAGGTTTTATCCCAAGCACTCTTTCCACGCCTTTGTTCTTAGCTGGATATTATCCCACCTTGTATCAAGACTATATCTGTCACGGAATGATGGAATCTGTCAGCAGCTAGCGAAATCGAGGTGAATGACTCCCTTCGCTATCCTACCAAGAAAGACAATAAACGCAAGACAACGTCTCAAGGGATCCGGGATTGATGCCGGAAACGCAGAAGTAGTAGAGAAAACTAAAGGATTAGATATATCAATATTAGTCTTTATAGATAGATTTCTCAGATTCTAAAATAGATAGTCGTAATATTCTACTATAGTCAGTATTTAAAATACTAGACGTTAGAAATAGAAAGTAGCTCTACTTTTCCTTGACCCATTGCGGAGAAGACATAGTTCTGGCCCTTCATCAGCTGTACACAATATGGTCGATGTTCTGCATAGCCTCTTTGGTTTTCTACACAATAGCCCAGTACTCTTCTCCTCGTGGAGAGTGATGCTCACGGTAATGTGTCCTTGCGCGGATGGGATAGATGTGGACAACGATGTTGCTGCGTGCCTCCCTGGAGCTTTTCGGATGGCAAGGGGCGGGTCAGACTTACTCAATATGTCTATCCAGACCAGATGATTAAGGCGCAATATGGTAGCTCCGAGCCACCAAGAGAATGTTTTTTAAAGCCACTGACAGGGACCTTACTCTTCCCACAAGTCTATCTTCTCATCAGTTCTGGGGTCTATAATTAACTGGACTGAAACCCTCCAGGCCAGATATTTCTGTCTCAGAAGCAATTGCTAACCATTACACAGAAACAGACAATCATTCCTCAAACGAGGATTTCGAATACTTTGCGCTTCGCTGAATTTAGCTTGAAGCACTGCTTGGGTCAATCTCACCGGTGAGCGGCAGGCAAGGCCATGCACCCCACAATCCTAAATGTCACAATGCTATCGCAGCCCTTACCTTCATTTCGGCAACATTACGTCTGCTTTCTTCGTGGCTGAAATCACCCACGGCGGCTGCTCGGCTGGCGTCGGGTGGATTGAATTGTAGCTGGAGTTGGAGGGAATGTTAGGACTGCTTGTTGTCTTGTGTCTCGGAGTAGGATGATCTTTACTCCGCCACTATTCGTTGGGGTGACACAACCTTACCCACTCACTCGGTCTCGATGGGGCATGTCCCGGTATTTGTTCTGGAATTTCCGTTTTCTTCTCTCTTTGTTTTTATCCCCTTTCCCAGGAGAATCAAGTTCTAATTTGGGACTATTACCGTTGGCGAGACTTGAAGTAGATCATCGAGGTCGAATGCATAAATGCATTCAAAAAAGCTTCGTACATGTCGAGATATAATGTCCCAGAAGCTTCATCTTGGCTGCATTTGTTGCATGCATCTTTTTACTGATTTGAATCTTCACTTGTGTAGACTGTCACTGGAGCGAACAGTAAGAGGGAAAGAGAGGGATTTACCCACTGGCATGTGTGTCTGAAGCATACCACCCTCGATGCTGGAAACTGTCGATATGGAAGGATTGTTGTGAGGCAGATTTATTACACAGGATTGCTAGTAATGGCGGATGCGGACTCCGTACAGTACGGTGTGCGCAATCGGGATTGAAAGTGTCAACCTTCAATCATGTCCGTACGGTACGGGACGCCGACATTCCTCGCTCCGTGCCGGCATGTCCGTTAGGAATTGGGGCCTTAAGGATAATCAGTAACCTAGTCGGAGTCAAGAATTGGATACTAAGATAATTATTCCTGAAATTAAACCAGATTTCCTCGACGAAATCTTCTACAAAGGGGAGTCAAGAATAAGATCCTTTCTCTTAAAGCCCTGTAGTAATCTTGGTTAACAAGATATCATAGGTCGTATCCAACTCGCTTGCCACTTTCTGAAATTTTCCTATGGAAATTGAAAATTCTTATAGAAATCGAAAATTCATGAAATACAATACGAGGGATCTTCGATGGAGATCTCAAAGCTATATCTTTAGTAGCAATGCAGTTATCCTATTCAACTTTCAGAAAACTAATTCGTAATCTCTCGGTCGCGACTCTGATCGACTCCCCCTCAAGGGGATTGTTGACGAAGCGATGAGTGGACCCCCTTCTCACACCATTGATGCTCCGCCCCTGCCACCTCTCAATTGTATTCCTGCCTTGTAGAAGCAGTGGACATCACGGGCCGCATTCGCCTTGAGATCTCAACCTCTCCTGGAGCCACGCTGATGATCAATCAATTAAGGTGGTGATGCATTCGGTGACTGAGACTAATAGTCCTCGTTTTCCACCGAGCCCCGACTTGCGGTACTCGGCTCAAATCAATCAATTATTTCTCAAAACAAGCTGTGGTCGAACAGACAGCTCAACATATCTGCACAGGTGATATCCACAAATACTATGTCGACAAAGAGCATGTCGACAAAGAGCGTGAATGCATGCTATTTCACACCCGGGAAACTATCTTCCTAGTCACCGAAAATCCCCTATGCCAAGGCAGGAAACTGTACCCACCATTCTAGACAAAAGCAATTGAAGTAATTTGCAGCGTTTCGACTATTGTGGTAATTTTCCGTTCAGTAGAACAAGTACGGGAGCATCTTGCCTGCAAGAGAAGCAAAAACAGCAAACCGGGTCCCGTTCATCCATTGTCGAGAGGTCACGGCAGCTCCCACAAGGCCAAAATTTCCTCGAGGGGGGAAGGGGCTTGGTCTAGAAATTGCAGAACAGATATTAGAAGGCTTCATAAGGATACCTCGGGGAGGAGCCTTCTAGTCCTGGTAACTGGACTTCTTCTGGACCGTCGGTGTAGTCCGACCTTGAGACTTGTCCACATAGCAAACTTAGTATGATCAATTAGATATCTGCATTGGAATACTAAAGTAATGGCCAGGATTGCACGCGTCACGACTTGAGCTTTCCCAATATGCCAAGCTACGCGATATATGCATCAAGTTAGGTCGTCGATCCTTCGGAGATCGTCGCGTTGAGATTACGCTAGGACTAATGGCGCTTCGGCTCTTGACTGAGAGATTAGCTCTGTCCAATTGAGGGCTGGAATATCTATAAACGGCTCGAAGGTTGAGCATCAGTTGGTGGTATCATGAGTCACACCCGGAAGCGTACAACCGTGCTTTGCATGATATCATAGACTATGTGAAAAAGCGTCCACATATCTCAGATTGACGCGTGCTGGTCTCCTCAAGCGGAAGCATCTGCTCCCGAAAAATTGAGTCTGGATCTCAAACCCTCCAGCCAAGAAGTTTCGACGGCGTTCAAGTTGAATAACTTGTGGTAACTGAGGCATTATGTGGTAGTGTTACATGAAGCACAGGGAGCAGCACACATCCCTGGAGAGACTCACGCTACCAGAGTTGCCCTCAATTGAGGAAGGCCTCGAGCAAAAGCACTGCTAACCAACCAACCCTCTGAGTTATGCATAATGGAGTGGCACGGCGACGAACGGGCAGTCAACTCACGTCCCACTTCATTTATGGGCAGATTGTTAGACTGGCCGGCAATCCCACCCTTCGCTGCATCATCGAGCATCATCGAGCATCATAGACTCAACCGCCAACTGTAAGCTCGATAGGACGTTTGAGTATATTTGCGGAAGACGCAAAAAATCTAAGAGCATTATTCCCCCCCCCGGTTCAGGGGTAGATGTATACATCTATCAGCATAATACCTATCGTTCCCCATCCCAACCTCCTCCCTTCTCATCTCGAAAATCGTCTCCAAATCCTATCATCTGCTCTGAGCCCCTCGCCGAACAGAAAACTTAAGCACACATGCATCTCGAAGCAACACCCACTTACAAAAGCCCCTTTACACCCACAATGTCAGTCGACGGCGAAGACCACTACATCCACCTCGATATTCACAACGCCTCAGATCCCAGTGACAACCCTCAAATTCCTCTTTTGTTCTGCGAACCTTAATTGTGGCAATCCATGGAAGAAGCATGACAAAAATCCACGAATTCTCATATATGTTCAGGGACCCGTGCGTTCCGCGTCCGATCACACCCAAATTCCGATGAACGAATACTACAAGATCTCAATTGCGCCCGGAGCAACCCAAGCATTCTACATCTCGGGCATCAACGCGAAGCAGATCGGGTATCCGCTCAAAGCCCCTGGGGCGACGGGCATCCGGGGCCAGATGACGCTCGGCACCGAGGGCGACGGGGCCGTCCTAAAAATCAGCTGGAACGACCCAATCAATAATATCATCCAGGACAACCCGGGATATCTGGCTCCAGAACCCAGCTTTAGCATTGTTCACTTGACATCCAAGTGGGTGGCCTTGGGGGGTGAGGTACTCCCGTCTACCGGGCGCCCAATTAGGCCTCAACATCTTGAAATTGTGAAGGCGGGATGAGGTGGAGAATATGAGGTTTGAAGGAAGAAAACCCAAAAGTATCAGGCCTCATTCTTTCAGTCTTTCTATATCTCTAAACAATGTAATAGCAACACTGTCGTTGACTAGGAAAATACTCAAAGTATGGTTTGTCAATTAAGCAGCATCTGCGCCGTTTTTTACTTAAGCCCCTTGTATAATAGTATTCTTTTGCCTTATCTGAGTCTGTTCAAGGAGAGCTCTGATGGCAGACTCAGCTAGAAGTTTGTGACAGCTGAAGCTGGATACCTGGTACCAGCGATCTGTTCCAGTAGTGAGAAATTCTTTAACGGAAAAATGAGCCAGCCTGACCTCGTTATCCCAATAGTCATCACCCGTACGGACGATAGTGACGAAGGAAGTCGTGCAAATGTCGATGACATGCTCCATAGCCGGGAAGCCTATTGCAGAAGCGACTTCGTTTAAACATAGGGGTCTAACCGCAAAACTCAGCCAAGCGAAGATTGACAGTGCAAACTCTCTTTCAGACGGCTTGATCCCTCAATGACAGATATGTACTGATCTTGTAGTGTCTTGGGTATAGTCTTCAAGGCTTCCAGAATCATCGTTCCCGTGTGATAGGCTTCGAAACGCTTGGGTTAAAGATCTGCCCAGCGAAAGCGTCTGTGCAATACGTGTCATGACGATAACTCAAGTCGCACGGAGTATGGATCATACCTTTTTCCCATCTGCAGTAACTCCGCAATTATCTGTTCTTTGAGGTCCTGGTTTGCAATTCTCCCATCAAGACCCTGGACTTTGACTCTTGCAAAATCTGCCACATCATCTTCAAGCTTCTCTTCCAAGTCCATATCTGCATGTCTCTCGAACCGTCTGCTGATATCTGTCTTTGGTCGGCTAGTCACCAAGATGTGCAGTTTGTCGCTGTGCATTTCTTCAAGCTCTTCAAGCAGGAAAAGCAGGACACTTCTTTCATGGCGTTCAGGAGACTCGGGGCATTCATCCAACGCATCTATTTTTGCTTGACTTCGGCCGAGTAATTCAACATTGCTGCGTAGACACAAGAGCACCTTACAACTGCGCGTTGCTCTCGTGGCCTTGGTATCGGCATTATTTATCGAGGACAGTAAAATATGCAAGTTGCTCAGCCAGATACTCAGAGGCTTCCAGAATAGCATCTTTGCGCTTGATATAGTTCTTGGTCATCTAGAAATCAAATTCTGTCAGTTGCGACCAGTGCAGCTTTGGGTGAAGGGGCGAATTCTTCTTAGGGCTGGGTCTCCGTACCGACAACCCCAACGAGACGATCCCTCAGGTAGTCGATGCGGTTTATTGCTTGAGCATCAGCCTTTCTATTCTATGACTATTCGGTCTCCGGAGGCAAACAGCCAGACTCACCATGTCCAGTGGGATCAAAGGCTACCACCGACTTCACGATTTCCTGCGCGTTCAACGCCGAGGGGAGGATTTGCTGGGCAATGTCGCGGACCTTGATCTCTCTTCCGTCGCGTCGTCGGATCGACAGGCTTTTGTTGCGAAACTCGGGGTATTTCTCTTTCGTGTCACTGATTACCTTCTCAATCATCCTATCTGGGGATTGTTCTGTCGACAGCCAGCGCTTGCGTTCCGGATCAAGGCTGTCGAACGCAACCTGCGAGAGACCCCTCGGCTGCTGCACCGTGGCCCCCGAGACTGAAGGCGCGATAGCTTCATTGCTACTGATCTTGCTCGTTGGCTCGGGGTCTATCGCACTGGCCGCGGAAATTGCAAGATATGCAGCTGGTTTCACCTCGTCGGCATCACCATCGGCCTGGGAGCAGCAGGGTTTCGCACGCAGCTTAACCAACATGCTGATGTAACCAAGGAAATCAAGAATCATGAAGAATGTGAGAAGAAATGAGCCTGGCCTGGAGCGTCAGGACTGCAAATTATTGTCCATATCCCCCCTCCCCCCTCCTGCGTCTCTGCCTGATGCGCGTGACTGTACATCTCATCACGCATGAAGCTTTCTATATAGACTATCCTACTCAGAGGCGTGAGTCTGTCAAGCAGTACTACTGCGGTATTGACTCAATGCATCCCTGTATCTTTGCTATACACAGCGACCCCTGTGAGATGGATGGTCTCTCGTCATTAGAATGAGCCGTCCGTGCTCTCGCTACTGGATCTCTAGAGCCCGTATGAGACTCTGAATGAAAGATCTGCAAAACATCCATGGAAATCTTCCATGACGTACGGTGGATTATCCTCCAGTGCCTGAGTCTACAACCACAAGACAGTGTTAATGCCAAGCTGCAAGATAAAAGGCCTAGGTGCGAAGCCAAACCATCCTATGACCACAGAACGGTGTATCAACATGAATATTATGTAAAATAGATCAAGTGTATAATAGTAAACGCCCTTAGGCACTCCCCAGATAAAATGGAGACCTACCTGGGCTCAATTTTGATTATCGTTTCCTAACCGTTTTTTCTTTCTTTTTCTTTGCATGTTTACCTGTAACCCCTCTCTCAAACTGAGAAGCTACAAACACAATAAAAAATACTCACCTTTCCTCAACCGCTTACGCCCAACCACAATTGATCGAAATGTGGCCGGGTCCAACTCCACTCAAACCTCCAGGGCCATGTAGAACCCGCGCATGACATGCGTGTAGGGAAATCCCGAGTACCACTCGAGCTCATTGTCGAAGACGAACTCGACCGCCTCGTGCATCCCCCAGCAGTCCTCGCGGAAGAACCGCACGCGGTCCTCGTAGATGACCAGCGCGCCGCGGCGCCGATGGTCCTGCGGCTCGCGGCTCCAGAAATACTGGAGCACGCGTTTCGCGAACCCGACCCAGCGGTCACGCGGGATATTTGCCTCCTGGAGTAGGAGGGTGTGGACCCGGACGTGACGGGGCGTCTGGGCGGGGTTGTTTTCCACAATGACGTACGGGACGTCTTCGAGCATGCCGAAGATGGGAGGATTTCCTGTTGCTTCCATTGTGACTGGGTGTCGTTTTTGTCCGGGTGATTTGGCTGTAGATGTTAGTGTAGACTTGGCTTTGTGTCAGGTCTGGTGGGTTGTGGGGAAGATGGGAGTCGAAAACAGAGTGTCTTTGGGGCATATTTATAGACATTTATGTTGGGAAGTGCGATAAGTTTAGTGAACTTGTCTGTGGTATATATTCCGATATGTTAGGAAGACTTCATTATGTTTGCTGTGGACAAAATACAGCTCAAAGAGTTTTTGACGGAGATCTCTAGATGGTGCTCACAGGGACAAAGACTCGGGGATGGAGTCGCTCATGACATTGAAATCGAGAGACTTTAGTATCCTTAAAAGCGGATGAGCCATTTCTATAGATGAATGTATCCTATTGCCGACGAAATTCGATATGGACAAAGGATTCAGCACACGGACTCATTCTACTAAAGAATTCCACACAAGATCTTCAGGACAGAAGGTACTGGTCGCCCAAGGAAGTAGTTAGGATTGAATGGAAACCCAAACATATGAGAGATATTCCGCTTCGTCACAAGCAAATAATGAATCTGCCGGGAGACTGGCCATCGAAGACAAAGGTACGTCGGGGAAAAAATTCTGGAGTCCAGGTCTATTGACCGAGATGTTTAGCTCGATAACCCTAGAGACAAGGGGTGATTACCAGGAAAGAAAAAAGGTCACTGTCGAACATAGAATTCCAGGACTACATGCCAGAAACTCATGCTTCCCCAAGGCTAATATTTTGATCCTGATAGATCTATAGATCACCGATTGATCGACTCCAGCTCGTCCTTCGTAGCTTCCCGCAAGCTCATAGCTCTTCAGCAGGCCGTCCAAGGGGTCATCAATGTTTTCGTAATCATGATCAAGGACTGGCTCCTGTGTGATAGTATCAGTTTACTGGATAAAGACACGGTTGCACAAGAGCTACTGTTAATATATGCAACTTGACAACATGACCTTGAATAGAGTAATGTAAACAGATGGCCCTGACTAGAAAGATGAGAACTTCAGAGATAGACTGTCGATGGCCCCGAGTGTCGCACAGAGAAAGAAGAATTGAGGTGCAGAAATAAAAAATGCCACCTAGGGACTCAAAGGGGAAAAGAGGCGGCAGTCTCGGCTTAGGGCTGCACATCCTATCTAAGAAGGTAATGTAAGTGGTGATAGTAGGATCGGCAGTACTCGGTTTGCAAGCCTTGACATTGGAAAAAGGCCAACTTCGCGATTAATGACTTGCTGACAATCAAGACAGGCAGGTCTTTGGACACAGGGTGACAGAATGGACCAGAAAGCACTTCCTTCTAAATTGGTAGAGGATGCGTCGGCGCCCGAACAGAGCAACGAATTCTTTTGTCAAAATGTCATTGAGCCTAGCGGAAATAGATGGAGCACCCTGAGTTGCGTAATGGTCGGACGTGTAGTATTATTGCCATTAAGATTGAGTATTATAAGCACGAGAGGTAAAATACAAGTGGTGTGGATTCTAGCCGGCCATGCGATATAGTTTTGGATGTTGAAATATATTTTGTGGTCTGTACTTCCTGATAATAGGTTTCAACTCGCTGTCTTGTCTGTTTTCAAGCAGGACAAGGGACATTTGCGTGCTGAAAGCCCCACTTTAACATGGGTATGGACAAGTGGAACGAAAAAAAGCAAAAGAGAAAACCCAACGCGGGGGTTGAACCCGCAACCTTGAGATTAAGAGTCTCACGCTCTGCCGATTGAGCTAGCCGGGCTAATTTGTTGAAGGCCTTACTTACTTGTGCTTACATATACCAAAACTGACGGAAGGAGAAAAGATAGCGCTTCGACTCAAGGGATCGATGTCATTCTTGCGTTGACACACTATACAGAGCCTTGGGTTCGCTCATGCGGTCGCATATATGTGGGACGTGGTCAGACCGAAGTTGCTTTTCATTCCCATATTTTTCTAACGCACCTTCTAGGGACGAACCTGCCTACATGTGACGCCATTCTCCTACGCTCTTTGGCAAGATTCCTTTTGTTGGCGCTGGAAATATATTCCTCTCTTCTTTCTTCCTGTCGGCAACAACGAGTCCAACCAGGGTTCCGCTCCGGATTTACCATCCTCGGAGCATGATTCGACTAGGCTTGTTCTGCATGTGCCCTTTTCGGCCGAGCAACTGCATGAGAAGACCTCAGCATCGCCTCCTTGCTAGCCCCGGCCCAGCACATCGCCACGGGAAATACTTCTCTTGACTCTTATTGCGTGCCCAAAAGACATGACCAGAGAACGTATTGAAGATTGAGCGGTTTGAATTTTACCCACCCTTCCCCCCCAAGAAAAACGGCCCCTCACCAAGGGGCAAACTACAGAACCGCCTCTCACATATAAGGGGTTACGGCTATAGTGAAGGGAGGAATGTGAAAGCCATGACGGCAGGGTAAGTCAAAAACACAAAACAAAAGTTAATCCATCGAACAGGGAAACCCGGAAGACTGACTGATCAGCAGATTAATCCTATGTAGCTGGTTCTGAGTCAAAGAGGTGCATGCATCATGACCGATGGGCCACGGATCTGAGTGAATGAGACCTGAATTGCCGGTTGAGAATCGCCGGCCGAGGCTCCTCGTTCACAAGGGATCAATGCACCTGCTTGAACCCTGACAAGCGCGCAATACTGAAGGACGACACTGAGGACTCGACTGCCTGTTGATCTCTGAAAACGCTGTATATTGCACCGATTCAATGCTGGCAGAGAGCATAGGACGGTGATATCACAGATGACAAACCTTAATTAACCCCAGGGCACTTAACCACAAGCGATCCAGCTATCTTGGACTCTTGGAAGCGCTGTTTCCGATGTTACCGAAGATCCGGGGGTTGAGTCAATCTTGGGGGGGTTTTTTTTTTCTTTTTTCTTTTTTCTTTAACTTTCTCCTTGCGCCTATTAGCAATTCCCGTGGGTATGAGACAAAATTCACAGCTACTGACCCAAAGTCCACCATATTGTCTCACGGGCATTCATTGTCCATTGTCCATTGTCTATAATAGGCAAGGGTGCAGAAGGGGGGGCAGGCTGAATAGAAAAGCTCGAGGCCTTAGGCTCCCCATCGTGCATGGACGACCGTAGATTGTGGATTCTCAGCCTATCAAGAACCTCCGGAAAATGCATCCGCTGAAGGTTTGGGGCGGGCAGGCCTTCCAGAACTTTGCAGTGGCGCCGACGTGTCATAGTTAGCGCATGAGTTTTCATCTCCGGTTTCCCCTAAACCAAAACACTCGCCGCTTATCAACGTTATTGATGGCACTATTACTAGCACTACAACAACCACAACAAAGAACCCATCTACTCCCACCTCCTTTCGACCCTGTATGACCCACCTTTCTTTCTCAGCTCGCCAGTGAGTCCTTGTTGTCCCTGAAGTCATGGCCCAACAAGGATCCGGCTCCACGACCGCCTACCGCCCTCTCGCCCCGAAGCCGACCCTCGTGCCTTCGAAACGGGGGGCTTCCGATCCTCCAGAGCCGCCAGGGCCTTCGAAACCGGGGAATGCCAAGAAGGCAGTCAAACGGTCCCCATCGTCCTGCGTGAAGTGTAGAGAGAAGCGCACCAGAGTAAATGCTCCCTTTCCCACCCCGGCTCGAATGTTATTTGTTGGTGCACGATGAGAGAGAGAAGATGAGAACTCCCCGTGAGGGGTTCCTCACTGCAGGCAAAAGCAACTCCCTCCTTCCCACCCCCAAATCCCAATTTCCCCCTGTCTTTCATTATCCTGTTAATCGTCTTCATCCCATTCCTTCTCTACTGTTCTAACCAGATCTTCCCCCGGATCCAACGGGGAACTCCACCTTCCAACAGTGTACTGCCTATGAATCCGGGGTCCCATGCACCATGTGCCGGATCCACCAGGTGGAATGCATCCTGCTCCCGCACAGCGACCGGCGCCGGAAGACCACCATGGAGTACATGCGGCAGCAGGCCAGCTACTACCGGGAGTTCCTCGAGCAGTTCATCCGGCTGGCGCGCGCCGACGACCCGGCGCTCATCTTCGCGGCCGTGGAGATCATCCAGGCCAATCATCCCGAGGATGTGACTCGCGCCCTCCTGGATGCCCTGCTCCCGGACGACCGGACGCCCATCCTGCCCGAGGATGAGGAATTGATCAAGCCGATTCGAGAGAGGGAGGCGCAGGCCGCCGCCGCCGCCGCCGCCGCCGCCGGTGGCAGCAGCAGCGGCAGCAAAAGTAAACATGGCGCGGAACCTGGCCTGGAATCAGTACCTGAATAGGATTGATGGGGGGGTAAATCTGGGAGGGAGGAGTAGGTGGAGGATGAGAGCTTCGCTTTCGTTCTAGTCCTCCTCTTTCGATCTCGCCCTACCCTTTGTGAGGGAACTGCCTACGATGGCACCATATACTACACTTGTGTCGCTGTATGCCCTTTCTTGCTGGAAGGGCTTGGGGAGGGGGGTCATCGCTGGAGAAATGGATAGAGGGTAGAACAATGGAGAAAGGAACGCGGAGGGAGCAAGAGATGAAGCAAGATGGAATAGCGGCGGAAACAGCCGACAGGCAGAATGCACGGAAAGTGGGACTGTGCCACGGAGAGGGAGCTACTACTTTACTTCTTTACTGAATGTTGAGGAGACGCGAGCGGGAAGTGGTGAGGGGGGTGTGTGTTGATTTTTTTGTGAGATCGGCTCAAACAGTTGCTTGCGCATAAACTGGACGGTTGAAATGCTGAGCTTCTCCATTCTGAGAGAAGTTGTCACTTGTCCATGTGGTGATTGTATTGTCTAGCCCGCATTCGATAGACTGTCTTGTGTATGTTATGTTCAGTGTATGCTGATGCTGCCTTTATGCTCTTCCGGGAAGAGACTCTCGTTTCTGCACCGTCGAAGCTTCGACTTGGACTAGATAACCAGACATATAAGCTGCACCTATACCTCTTCTCAAGAAATCCTATTCGAATGTATTTTTCAACTTAGGAGAGAGTTTGCAAGGCTGTGTGTGGTACATCGGATTTAACAGGAACACCAGAAGCGGTCTGAGAAGGAATAAAAAAGAAACCACACGAGGCATGGCGAGAGAACCAACGCTGGGAGATCAGAAAGGTTTACACAGCAGGATGTAACATTTTTGTTTTTCTTGCTTTCTCATCTCCTTTTGCCGTTTTTAGTTTGTTTTTTGTTTTCCTTGCCCCCTCCCCTTTTCACACTGCAGTCCCGACCCAGTCATACATCTTCTCATGGAGCAAGACAGTACCCCGGATATACCCGACGAGAGATGGCGCGTTCGAGAAACTGCCCTCCTCCCTCAAGTATTCGTACGTGGTGTCGTCGCTGAAGGCGAGATATCGCAGCTCTTTCCCGTAGCCCTCGCGCAGGGGACCTTCGGCGACGGACAGGAATTCCGAAGTGGGCGCCGAAAAGTCGTCTTTGATGTCGATGTAAAGGACTTGCAGTTTGGGGAGGGAGAGGGCGGACTTGATGGCTTCCTGCGGGTGGTGGGAGAGATGAAATCTTGTCAGTCTGTGCTTTCATGAAAGCTGTAGCTGGTGAGTATCGTCATGAAGGGGAGAATTGAGGGAGGGGGAAGAAGGAGGAGGAGGAGGAGTCAAAGGGCGAAGGGCAAGGGAGAAGAGCAAAACAAGAGAATTTTTCTCACCAGGTCGACCTTATCTTGTCGGATGCGAAGCTCTTCCAATTGCGGAAACCTCGATGCAATCAGGGTCAGCAACTTTGCGCAGGAGCAGGGTCGGTCCTCGTGGCACGGCAGGCTCAGACCCAGCACCTTCAAGGTGGCGCCATGCTGCGTCTCCAGCACCTCCAAGAGCGAGTCACAGACCACCAGCTGACTGGACGTTTGGCCGCGGATCGGGATGCCATGGAAAGCCTCCAGCCCACTGAAGGCGCGCAGGAATCCGTCGATCGAGTTGTCGAGGATATTGGTGGTGAGCCGCACAGGGCGGAAGTCCGCCTCGAGCCCGGCGTCCCAGAAGTTTCGGACGGTGGTGGCGAGCGAGTTTGGGTCGAGAAAGTCCAGGGTGACGGTGGTGAGTTTGGATGGTCGCAGCATGGCCCAGAAGTCGGCAGGCGTGACCCCTAGGGCAGCGAAGCCGCGCAGGTCTAGCAGGTGGAGTTGCGAGGCCAGATGTGTGGGCCAGCTCTCGAATAGGGTGCTGACGCTGATCCCGGAATTATTATCCGCCCAGATCGTGAGCTCCCGCAGGTTCGTCGCGCTCGCCACCGCCGCTCCCACCGATCTCATCACCTCCGCGTCGTCCACCTGCACGAGGGAAAGCACCGTCAGGCTCATCGAGAGCTTCATGTTCAGCGGGGGTCGGAAGAAGGGCTTGGGGGTGCAGTCGGTGCCCATGCGCAGCTGGAGAGTCCGGAGCATCGGCCGCAGGACGACATTCGAGACCAGGTACTGGGTTAGGGAGACCTGCATATCCCAACTGTGGGCGTGGGTCACCCGCATCGGTTATCGAAGAGTCCCTCAAGACATGTGGTGCAGCGTGCTCGCTTACACGAATTCCTCCAGGTTCGGCATACGGACTACGCAGCTGCATAGAAGACTGCTAAGCAACCGGGCTGCTGGGGAGAGGATTCTCTTCGGCGCTAGCCAGGAGTCGATCGAGGCATACGTCGAATACCAGGTCCCGGACACGATCACTCGCTTGATGAACCCCATCTTGTTGAATTCGGGGTGGGCAAGCGTGTCCAGCTTCATCAGGAGTTTGTCGTGGGCATCGATGTGCCCGGGGCTATGCAAGCGGACCGTGTGGTAGAGGTAAGGATTGACGAGATCATTGAGCTCTCGCGAGACACGAGCCAGGGCAGCCAGGTCCCCATAAGTCAACTACCACTCATCAGTACTCATCAGCTGTGCCGGGTGGGAAGCATCACTTAGGGCGAAGTAGCTCACGTCTGACCATAACTCATCCATAAACAGCCGGAATATGATTGCCATTGCAACGAAGATATTGTACAGATGGGGTTACGGAGGACAAAAGGTCTAGGACAACAACCTGTGCTGTGAATAGTATCAACATTCAACAAGACTTTTTACACAGTTTAACTACTCAGACTTCATCGTGATGTCATGAATCATCAGCTAAACCATACGCACTAGCACCTCCCCTATTCTGACAAATGAGTAATTGTTCATTCACATGTAACACAATGTATCTGCTCCACGTCCCTTGACCGGGAGATTCCCTGGATCCGGCTTCGAAACCTGAATGCAGCACCAAAATAACAGTATTCAAGGTTTTAAATTCAAACCAGAAGACATGCGTCCACCACTAGTTCTCACAAGGAGGGGAGTTCCAACACCCCAGGTGAGGTCATGTCGTAACCGAACAACCGAACAACCGAACCCACACAATAAGGCTCGTCCCGGAAATGATATCAGCGTAGCCTGGGATTGGTTCACCCAGACTTCCAACTCGAATGTTCACTTACACAACCATTGGGCCAGCTCCTTTCACAAACCCCACACTGTCTTCATTTGGATCTGGTACAAGTTGATGTAATCATTTATGTAAGGAATTAATGTGTACACAAAGACCGAACCCAGGAACTGTATGTGCACATCTAGTGTGCACCCCCTGAGCCCAACCACCCTCAACCCACAGCCCTAAACAAATGCTACAGAGCCACTCCCTATCCTTCCCAAACCCCGCCTCAACCCGATCGCCAAAGTCTGCGCCATACCAATTCCCCTCCTCGAAGAGCCCATACGTCCCCAGCATCGGATACGCCCGCGTATCCCAATCCCAGAGCCCCCGGGCCAACTCCACTGAAACTGACAGTGGTCAATGTCCTTGATGATGGCCTTGCGAATTGTCGAAGGACTGAGGGGTACTCTTCCAATGCCCGCGGTATGACAGTAGAACCCGAGGCCAGAGAAGCTACAGAAGGGATATCTGCCTTTGCGACCAACGATTTTTGTATATTGTACTCTACCTAAATCCACAGACAACAAGCATTATATGACATCGCAACGAGTACATACACAAGGCCATTTTTATCGTCATCATAATCGGAAATCAAGAAAAAGTTCCAAGGTGTAGTCGTGATGTTTTCTCTCCTTATCGGCCACCCGAGCATTAGGAGTCATACATGTTTCGCGGTGGTGCAATTTGCTGGCGCTGTATCGACCAACGATGCAAGTCACATCCACCACCAGAGCAAAGAGAGCCCTAGCGAAAGTCCGAGTCGACCCCGTTCTCCGCATACACCTGCAAGCTATACTTGGCGAAGTTGCTCTTCTTGCGCATCCGCTCCCCGTAGCGCGACAAAAGCGGTGGCACGATGCAGAACAGCGTCGCGACAACAGCCAGGATCGACATCCCGACGTTCGCGCCCAGCCTGTCGAACATGGCACTGCCGAACAGCGGAAAGGTGGCAGAAAGCAAAGACCGAACGATGGAGAGGGCGGCGAATCCGCTGGCGGCATAGCTGAGGTACGAGTCCGCCATGTACTGCGAGACGACGACTTCCATCTCGTTCAGGCCATAGCCGGTGAAGAAGAGAGCGACCACGGGGACTAACCAGTGGATGGCCGCGCCGACCGGGGGAATCGTCCAGGCGAACCACCACAGCGACAGGGCGAGGACGGGGGCGCCGATGTAGATGCCCGTCAACTTGTGCTCGGGCTTCACCTTCAGGCCCTCCTTCAGGCGTCGCTGTGTTATGCGGTAGTCGAGAATGCGGGTTGCGATGTTAGGGATGAACCCCAACCCGAGGGCGAGGAAGGGCAGGCTGGAGTCCTCCGTGCTGAAGCCAAAGGCCTCGAAGATGGGTGGAAGAGCCTCGGCGAATAGATAGATGAGGGCCACGCAGACAGAGAACACCATGGTCACGACGAAGACTATCGGCTCGGTGAAGAACAATCGTAACGGGCGAAAGAGTCCCACGTGCGCAAAGGTGCGAAGGTCCGGCATGAAGTCCGGGTTGAGGGCAAGCAGCGAGTCGTTCCCGGTCAACTTGCGCAACGCTTGGACTTCCCGGGCCAGGATCAATGACGGCCGGGACTCTTTGATGCACATGAGCATCGCTGCAAGAACACAGGTCACGATTGCTCCGATGTTGAAGACCCATCTCCTGTAATTTGTGGCGTAAGCAATCGGCGCCAGATGTAGAACTGGAATTCGAGCTAACATACCATCCGTATCGATAAGTGACATAGGAGCTCATGATGGGACCCGCACTGACCCCGAGACATGCCATGGCAACATAAAAGAGCATCACCCATATGCGATCCTGTGAATTGAACAAGTCCTCGATGCTCCCCGTAATGACTATGGTTGGAATGGCAGACAAGAATCCAGTGACCAAGCGTCCTATCACCAGAGCGCTGGCTGAGGGAACGGCGCCGATCAGAAGACAGAAGACACTATACAAGAGAGCACTCAAGACATAGAGCCGTTTCCGACCAAACGTTTCCGAGTATGGTGGGAAAATCACACCGCCTAGACCCTGACCCAGAAGGTATCTAAGACATGTCAATACAACGCCAGATGTGGAGAGCATCAAACCCACGTGGAAACGTATAAAAACAAAGTGAAGGTCTTTCCGGTGCCTAGCTCGAGCTGTGCGGCTTTTGCAGTTGCGGCCTGTAGACATGTTAGCTGACGGTCCCCCACACAGTCTCGATCATTGCAATGTATTGACTCACCCCTGAAGTACTCATCGCAGTCCTATAAACCTCCATTAGCAGACGCCACGGATTCGGCTAGATATGCTCACGTGAAGAACTCCAGAAGACCGATCACAGTTATGTCATAGGTCTTGCGTGCTGGATGCCAGTTGCGTGGATGCTTCCTGTTGGTCTTGCCCCATCGCAGGTGAGCTCCGTCTGGAGTCAGCTCCAACTCATGCTCCGCTGCAAGACGATCTAGGTCAGTATAATCTGCAAGCTTCAATTCACCCATCGTGAAATCATTGATAATTCTTGGTCATCACCCTGGTTTGCTAGGTTGATTTTAAACGCCCGGCACAAGAGCCCTAAACAAGGGATACATACCTCTTACACTGGGCCAAAGGGGTGGTCACTGGTGCCAGGCAGATCAACATTCACCTCTAATCGATAATCGCTAGGAGCCAGCTGCCTAAAAAGATCCGGAAAAGACATCAAAGTACAGGAGCGTAGCCGACGGACGGACAGCGACCATGCACCAAGTGCCCTGAGCTACTCGAAGTGTTAAAGTTGAGATGCCGGGCTGCCGGCTACCATTGGCTCAGGCACTAGCAGTTAGCTCCTTTGCATGTGCATCAAAACGAGACTGAGTCGTATACACGCCACGCGACTCACAATCTTGTGCTTGTACACATCAGCATCGTCGCGTCCACGAAGACAAGTGGGTCGCCTGATGATGGCTCGTGGTCACGAAGACCTGGCGCCGGCCGAAAGGGTCATAGCTTCAGCTTTTGTAAGACGGCGCTGGGATACGGGTACACTGGGCCTGGAATGTGAAAAAGCGAGGATCAAGTACCCGACAATTATAGTTTGCACGACAAAAGCAAGCTTCCAATGCATTCGATGTCGGGGTGATGTCGGAAAATAATTGGGCGTCAGGAAGAAATGATATCATGCTGCCCCTTGGGCGTTTCCCTTTCAGGTATGGGATCATAGCTGAGGATGTAACATGCGACCAGCCAGCGCGCACAACGTGATGGTTCAGCCCTTTGGCGCGCTTCAGCGGCCCCAGCCGGGATTTGTAATGCTGTTCGCAATCTCTGGATGGTTTGATCACCCTGAGACGAAGGGAGGATGATCCCCATTCTGACTCGTCATCACTTGGAGACGGCACCCCTATGGGATGAGGTATTAGCTAAAAGATTCATAACGCGTGGATAAAGGGCCGCATGGTTTAGAGAGCGCAGCGCATCCCAGAGAAGGGAAGTCGGACTGACGACGTACTGTAGATACAGCACACGTAAATGTCGGTGGTTGGGAGAGAGAGAATGAAGGCCTGAGGCAGCACATACACTATTTCCCAGCGGGCGGTCACCAAGGCGGCATCCGATTTATCCGTCCATGGAGCGCCATCGCTGTTTTAGTCGCTCATGCCGCTTTTGCATCGGCCATGCGTTTAATTCTTGAGCTCGATGGATGATTTCTGCCACCAAAGCATCTCGTTCTTCAGCCTCCGTGAAGTACTCCCCGTATAAAGTCACAGCAATTACACCATTGACCAGAGCCGGTTTGCAATTGATGTGATTCAAAGCAATGCCACAGATCTTCAAAACCATGGAGCGGACTTGGGATTCCGTCCTGCGATGTGCCGCCCGGTTTGCGTTCCTTGTATTGTCAACAATTTAGCAAGCGACTATGCGGTTGGTGATACGGGGTAGGCTCACTCAAGATGCGGACTCTCGGCAGTCAAGATCATTCTAGATAGCTCCAGGTGCTGACTGGCCGTTACTTGATCCTCAGAGCTATACCAGATGGTCGGAAAAATCTGGCCCTGCAGCTTTTCCGCTCGCTTTTCGAGGATAGGCACGAGTTCGCTTCGACACGCGTCCACCAGTTGCCGCTCACACCGCACAAGCCGCTCTACACGTGTCAGCTATGCTCGTTCCTCTGGGTTTTTCAGGTGACAGTGAGACAAACCCCATTTATCGATCGATCGGTCTTCCCAGAACCACTTCGTGACCTCGCTAGCGAGCATGATGAACTTATTTGCGACCGATGCTCTCCTCCAGTCCTGGGGCTGGAACTGCATGATCGGTGCACGTTGTCTTGTTAGCGCGTAGTATACCTCCTGTCTGATCGCGATCCAGTATGCTGCTGTTGCCAGCGACTGTTCAAGGCGATGTGACATCATGGACTCGATGATTGTTTGAGTAATAGCTAGAAAGTTGACTCGGCTCTGTGCGGCAGTTTCCGCAGGTCCGTCGTCGTCCATGTCTTCCTCCATCTCCTCATACTGGCGAAGGATGACTGCAGCGACCATAATATTCTCTTGATTGATTGGGTCCGATACGTCGGGAAACTTGACAAGGTCGGGTATACACCTCAGTGTGTATTCAACCGCGGTGGCATCTTCCATATCCGGGAGTAATTGTCCCTGGTACACAATTCCCCGCGGGGTTTTGTATCGGGGAAGGCGCACGAGATGCCGTGCCGACACAGCAAAAATAGCGTTTCGCACGGTCGAGCAGTGCCGTGCTCGCCGAGGGACTTCCAATCGAAAGTGCCTGAGATGATCGCAATGATCGAACTGCGCTATGTTAGGGGTTGACTCTCGATGCAAATGGAGCTCAACATACCCAGGGTGAAATCTCCTCAATGAAGTATCGAAGTAGACAAGCTTCTTGCAAGAATGCTTGGTGTGCGAAATAGCTTGGTGACTCCTCGCCATGCCTGCGTCTGAGTTCACTCGAAGGACTTGATACAAATGCTGATCCACGGGCTCCTTGGCGAACCTGGCCAGCCAGGGCCGAACGCGCGTCGGATGATCCCGTGCTTTCTTGCAAATGCCCTGAGCTTAAGCGTTGCAGCGTGGTATCCCCTTGCGTCGCGAGCAAATGCCCCTTGTCCACTTCACTTTGCCCAACCTGAGTTGTTGATTGTGAACGAGGAGAGCTCGACGATGACGAGCCAGTTTGTATCCATGCTCCTCCACTAGTCTCCGCCGGGGACGACAGAACCCCGTAATTCTCCACGTAAGCAACCTGAACGAGGTGGCGTGTCGGCTCCTCCAGCCCATCAGAGGTCTGCTGCTGGCTCAAGAGTGACTTCCACCGCTTGGGCTCACTGCTCACCCAAGCCTGGTTTCCTGAGAAGCTGGCGTCCAAGCCTGCCGTAGATCCCTGGCGGAACGGCGACTTGCGTTGGACCGGCTGGCAGGTCCAGCCTTTTTTTTGCATCGCGTACAAACTGGACGTAGCCTATCACCTAAAGCCTCGCACAAGATCAGAGTTAGTGTAAAAAGGTCTGAGAAAGATATGTTAGCCTGTGAATCACTCACAGCGCACGTGCTTTTCTGGATGGTTGATTCAATCGCTAGATTAGCAAGAGCGCCTGGGTGAACCGATGTGGAGGTCAAGGCATACCTCGACAGTTGGAGCATGGGGTCTGACCATTAGATGCCGTGGCTGTGGCTGACATCATATTGGTAGGTGGATGTGATGAAGTTTTTCTTTTTGGTTTGTTGTGGAACTGAGTCGACGGCGGCGGTTGCTCTTCGCAGTCAAAATGGGAAAGCGGGGAGCTTGACCCCGCACTCCATTTTTCCCCACATCCAGGAAAAAAACACTCCGATCGTTGCTTTGGAGGTCACACTTGGGAGTCTTTTCATGACATCTTTGATGATGCACTTGGAGTACACTCTAAAGTGGCATTACTCAATGTTCATTGCTCAATCGAGAATAAAGCAGTATAGGAATAAAGGTAGTATCGTGGTGTGTGCTACGCCTGTCAACAAGAGGGAAATGATCTCTCTTCATCCGAGCTTTTTCTTAGACCAGTGTCTAGATGACCGAGCACATCTTTGCTTCTGAAGACCGAGCCCTGCAGGTTGATACTCTTGTTAGTAATGTCGCTTGTGCGCCGGCGCCGCGACGAAGAATATATTGCCCGCTTGGGCAAGTAGCGGCGGGGTCACTTCCGGGGACACGGCGGGCTCAGCATTACCCGATACGGTAGGTGCCGGCGCTCTCAAGGGCTTGGTTATCTTAGGTTATCTTACAGTATTCCGACTCATGCTTCAAGGGTACTTGATCAAGGGTATAAAGAGAGCGAAGACTTCTCATGAGATTCGTATCATGCTTCTCCTCTATTATTCACACTCTCTCTAACAGCTTCCATCCTACGAAATCTTCCCAACATGACCCGAACACTGAACCCTCTCAAGATTGCAGTGGTCGGCCTTGGTCGCATGGTATGACTTGATTCTATCACCCGAAAGATACGACTGCTCACACCAGCCCAGGGCAAACGCCATGTTCACACACTGCTGTATCGCGTCCCCCACGCCCAGGTGGTAGGGGTATGCAGCTCCGACGGGAGCGAGGTCAAGTGGGCCCGGAACAACCAAGAATACACCGACTTCGGCATCACCGTCTACGACAACTACGACCAGATGCTGAATCACCCGGGCTTACAAGCAGTCTGGATCTCCAGCAGCACGGACGTCCACGCCAGTCAATCTCTGGCGGCGATCGCGAAGGACCTGCACGTCCTCTGCGAAAAGCCGCTCAGCACCGATCTTGCGGAGGTACAACATCTCCCCCCACCTACCCCTTCCCTTCACACGTCCCTTGACTAACCAGAATACCGCAATCAGGCGCAATCCGTCGTCGACGCCGCCCGAGCCAAGCCCTCGTTGAAGGTGATGGCGGGCTTCTCCCGCCGGTTCGACGCCTCCTACCGCGACGCCAGCGCCAAGATCTACGAGCAGGGCGCCATCGGGACCCCGTTCCTGGTCCGTTCCAACACGTGCGACCTCCGCGACGAGACGGGGTTCTTCGTGCGGTACGCGGCCCGCAACGGCGGCATTTTTGTCGACTGCGCCATCCATGACATCGACCTCTCCCTCTGGTTCCTAGGGAACCCGACCCCGAAGGCGTGCTGGGCAGCCGGCACTCTGCAGCATCACCCCGAGCTCCGCGAGCTGTCCGATGTAGACAACGCGGTCGGGGTGGTGGAGTTCTGGGGCGGCAAGATTGCCTACTTCTACTGCTCGCGGACGCAGGCCCACGGCCACGACGTCTGCACGGAGATCACGGGCACGGAGGGCAAGCTGATGGTCAACGTGGTGCCGCGGCAGAATAACGTGGTGCTGGCGGATAAGCTGGGCATGCGCCACGAGGTGCAGCCGGAGTACTGGGAACGGTTCGAGCATGCGTTCGCGCTGGAGGCGAAGGAGTTTATTGCGGCCGTGCGCGAGGATCGCGAGGTGCCGCTGCCGCTGGAGGCGGGCATGAAGGTCATGCTGATCGGGCAGGCGCTGCAGCATGCTTTGTTGTCTGGGGAGGTGGTGCGATTTGATGAGAGTGGGGAGCGGTTGAACTAGCCTGGGGACTTGGAGCGGTTTTCTGTAGAGAAGATGTGGCATGGTTCTGCAATATAACTTTTGACTTGTTCCTCAATGACTGGCCTGTTCTGCGGGGCGCGTTCCAGTCTGATTCTTAAGCTACCTGATCCTCCTCGTATTAATTGGTTGTCTTATAGACCAGCATGATCAGAGCCTGAGTATCAACACGGCACCACTACATAAGCAGTCTTGTTTTGTTGAGCTGTGCGAGATGTCATCAGAGCGAGTCGTTGCCTGAGGCAGGAAACCAGACGGTGACAGATCGGTGTTTGCTGGGCTGAGACCGCGGCATCTCGGGGAATGCTTTGCAACGATAAATTGTGGTGCTATCGGCTGTATTTCCGGGCACCCACTCACACTTACCACGCACCGTCACACGGCGAGTTGGCTATACCCAGTACTAGCTATAAAGCATAAGCATACCCCACCTACTCAGTACCATAAAACCAACCTCCGCCTCACACCATCTTGCCATCACCCACCACCACCCCCACCACTCAGCAAAATGTCCACCACAAAACTAGCCCAAGCCTTCCCCTGGCTCCAGTCCCCAATCATCATCAACGCCCCAATGAGCGGCTTCGCCACAAGCTCGCTCGCGATCGCCGTCACCCGCGCCGGAGGCCTAGGATACATCGGGTTCCTGTCCTCCCTCCCAGAACTAGAAACACACCTACAGAACGCGAGACAAAGTCTACCTCCTCCGCCTGATACAGACATCCTGTCTCATCCCGACGCCCCCTCCCGGTCCCATGGATCGATCCCCGCGTGGAGTTCGTGGCGATCGACTTCCTGCAACCAGTCGAGGAACTCATCGCGCAGCTGCACGACTTCTGCGCCCCGGTCACGCACGCATACTTCACCTCGTACGTCCACGACGATGATTTCCGCGTCCTCAAGGACAAGAACGTCCCGCTGTTCTGCAACTTCCTGGATGCAGTGGATGCAATCTGTCCGGCGCTGCAGCGCGTGAGTCTGCAGACTGGCGGCAAGGTGCGCATCTTTTCCCTCCCGTGGCTGACAGCTTTCCTGAAGCAAACGCTCACGCGAACACAGTACTACGGCGTCCACCTGGGCCCCGTCAAAGTGCCGCTCGAGGAGTCCTTCCCGCGGTACGAGGACCAAGGGTACAACTTCTACTATAACCAGGAGGATTACCTCCGGGAGGTGCAGGGCCGGCGCAGGAGCTGGTCGTACAACATTATCCGGCCGAATGCGATTAATGGTTATGCTCCGCATGGTGAGGGGTTTCCACATACAGATTCACTGTGGCAGAGGAAGAAGGAAGCGGCCGGTGGCTAATGAAGCATACAGCGAACGGCATGTCCGAGGCCCTCACCGTCGCGATCTACATGCTGATCTGCCGCGAGCTCGGTCAGCCGGCCACCTTTCCGGGCAACGAGTACTTCTGGAACTCGATCGACGATAACTCCTACGCCCCGAGTCTGGCGGACCTCACCGTGTGGGCGTCGACGCACGACCACTGCAAGGATGAGGTGTTTAATCATGTCAACGGCGATATGTTTGTCTGGAAGCACATGTGGCAGGATGTGGCTGCGTATTTCGGCGTGGAGGTGCGTTTGCCCTTCATTGCGAAAAAGAAATGCTGTGCGGAAAAATTGACAGTTCTGCAGGCACCGGCGCCGAACTTCGAAAAAGCGTCAGGGCAGGCCAGAACCCTCAGTAACGAGATTGACATGGTGGAATGGGCGAAAGACAAACAAGAGGTCTGGGAGCGGGTCGTGCAGAAGTATGGAGGCAAGGTGGAGGCTTTCGGCTGGGGCACCTGGGGTTTCTTCAACTGGGCGACCGGGAAATCCTGGTTGACCATCTCTTCCATCCACAAGGCGAGAAAGATGGGCTGGACGCGACACGATAAGACGTTCGATACCTGGATTGAGACGTTCCGGTCATTCGAGAATGCCGGAGTTCTACCTCCGCATAGGGCTTTGACCGGAGGAACGAATCGGGCATAGTGGTCTGAGCCCAGTGATAGCTGGGAAAAATGATTCAAGACGGTAGCTCCATCCTGGGGAGGGTGCTATCTTTGTTGATCGTGTAATGTTCAACATTCAAATGCCATGTGTTGGCGCTCTTTTCTCAAAGTCTGGTAACATTCCTTGTGGTGGTGCGGGGAGTGAGTAGAAGAACAACGAAGCGCCCCCCTGACTATCAATAGGCCAATTGAGGGCGTGACTTCGCTCAAGGGCAACTAAATGCAATCGAGCACCGTCAAGGAAGTAAAAGAGGTGTCTATAAGGACTTCAAGGTATTTTCGCATAACTCCAGCCACCTCCAAAAAGTCACGCCAAGTATAATCAGCCAGCGGCAAGAATGGCACCAAGATCTTCAGGGAGATAGCCCTGATCCGCCCTCACATTCCACGACCCACGCCTTCCCGGATCATCAAACCTCTTCATCCTGGTCCATACAGCACGAATGAGGATATATACTACACGCCAATCCCACCGCGTGGTTGCCTTTCAGCCAACTGTCAAAGACCATTACGCCCATCACCCTCTCTCCTGAGTACTGCATCACCCCAACCACCAACATGTTCTTCCCCCCCAAGCACATCCTCCCCCTCCTCACCACGCTCACCACGTTCACAACCCTAACCACCGCCTCCCCCGACCAAAAGCCCGCCTACCGAATCACCTCGCCCGCGGCCTCGGCGATCCTGACCCCCAACACCCCCAGCGTGATCTCGTGGTCCACCACGCAACGCAGCTCGGCCAAACTCTCCATCCACCTCGAAACCACCACCAACCACACAAACCTCTACACCATCGCCACCAACATCACCAACTCGGGATCCATCTCCTGGTCCCC